GGGACTCCGATTCCCTCGGGTAATTAGCGATATACCTCTGAGGTCTCCCTGTGAATCGTACTGAGACTTGTTGGGGTTTTTTTGTTTTGTTTTGGTTTTTTTCTGGAAGCCACTGTAACAACTCTTAGGAAAAAGCCAGTGCTGACAGTACCAGAACAGCCACGTAAAGCTAGCTCAGACAGGATAAAGCCTGCATTTGGAGCCTGCTGCAGCAGCAGTCTGCTTTTAGGCTGTCTCGAGACATAATAATATCAGACATAATCAGAGCTCAACTGGAAACTGTTTAATTCAAGACAGCGTAGAGCCTCTATTGGATTTCACAACTACATTCAGCTCAAACCCTGACGTTTCCAAGCTGAGTAGCTTTGTTTACTTGACACTGCTTGCGAGTTTTTAGTGTACATACGTAATACCTCCCAGAGCGAAGGCTGAAGAGCAGAGCACAAAGAAAAGGCGCGCTTTTCTCAAAGAAGGTTTCCCGTGGTGGCAGACACACACTTTCCTATTTCTGATAGGAGAGCTGGGAGCAGTGTTTGTAATGGAGCAGGGGTGGGCACAGCACTTGGGAGCCGTTTCCTTTCGAGATAGAAAAACCGAGCAGCCGCGGAGCTTCCAGTCGATCGCGGAGAGGTTTGTTCCCGCTTTCCCAGGACTAAAGCTTCCTCCCAAAGATGGGCCTCGCTTTGTGTTTCAGACTCGGAAGACGGCCGGCTGGCTGGCGGCGGAGCTCTCGAAGGAAGGCCATCAGGTGGCATTGCTCAGTGGGGAAATGATGGTGGAACAGAGAGCCGCGGTCATAGAGCGCTTCCGAGAGGGCAAAGAAAAGGTGCTGGTGACCACAAACGTCTGTGCCAGAGGTAGGGCATGGCAGAGCTGGGCCAGGGAGGGGCAGAAGCAGCAGTTCCTAAGTTAACATGCTGCTGGCCAGCTTGCAGAAAGAATTGCCATCCCCAAGTGTTTCAGTCTGGACAGATTAGGGCCCTTAAAATAATTCCTGGACTGCTGACCCTGTCTGTGCGTAGAAAGGTGCCCGTGGGCAAACACAGGACTCGGAGGCTTCCTTCAGCTTGAGATGAAAAAGTCCATCCTGTGAGAATTTTATGCTTCTGGCACCAAGCCTGGCTTGTGCTGCTGCCCCTCAGTGTTTAAAATAAACATGTTCCGAAATATGGAAATCTGAAAAACAGCAGACTCCAGCAGGAATTTGTGTTGCAATTTGACATCCTAGAACAGTTAAGACCACATAGGACTTGGAGAGAAAAAAGAAACAAAAAACAAAAAAACAACAAGAGGCCTTTACAGCTTTGGAAAGGAGGAGTTTCCAAAATATGTAAGAGCTGGTTAAAGCATCTCCAGCTGCTTTTCCGTTAGCCATTTCAGTGGGATTCCCTGGTGTAACAGCTATGTAGTTTTTATTTCAAAGCACCACTTAAGGATATTGTGGAAAAGGTCCATTTCAAAGTTTGAGCCTGGCTTTTAACTCTTCACTCGGTGCGGAGGCAGCGCTCTGAAAGCTGCTGGAAATTCTGCTGATGGGTGACCTGGGTACGGCGACCAAACCACACACAGCTCAGGCCAGAGGAGGCTGTTCTTGCTATAAAGTGGTTTAAATGTAGTTGTGTGATCTGCTGCTTTCTTTTTATCAGGGATCGATGTAGAGCAGGTCTCTGTTGTTATCAATTTTGACCTTCCTGTGGATAAAGATGGAAATCCAGATAATGAGACTTACCTGCACCGGATTGGACGCACGGGTCGCTTTGGCAAGAGAGGACTGGCTATTAACATGGTGGACAGCAAGCACAGCATGAATATTCTCAACAGAATCCAGGAACATTTCAGTACGTACCCTCAGACTTTCTTCTTTCTCTAAAATTAAATGTTATTTCTGCAGAATTTTGACTAGCTGTATACTGAGCAGATATTTATTGAGCTTTAAACTGACCGCAGAAGAGCCCATCAGCTGTGTTTTGTGTAATATCTCGTAGGATTGCAAACTGCTACATAGGATAAGAGCAGAAATAAGTCAAGTTGTCTGTTTGCTGGCTACCTGGATAGCCCTTAAAATGGATGTTCCAGAGATGGGTAACATTCCGGTACCAGGATGGGCCTCTGATAAAAGAAAGAAGTTTTATGTTGTAGTTTTAAAACCTGACTGAACATTTCATGGGTAAACCTGAACTCCTCAAGACCAGCTAAAGAAAGCAGCTTTCCCTTCTCTGCTCTGTGTTACGAAATGTGACTTATTTCTCATCTTTGCCAGACAAAAAGATAAACAAATTGGATACTGACGACTTGGATGAAATTGAGAAGATAGCTAACTGAAGTACAGCTGCTGGAACTGGTGTGTACCCTGCTGTGGAAGCTCTCCCACTACAATTGGATCAGCGTTCAGATTGGCACGCCTCTCAGCTAGTCCCGAAAAGGACTCTTTAAGATATGAGTACACAAAAATTACCTCATTTTAAAAATTGCAGTTGGACTTCAAATTGTGCAACTATGAGGAGGAAGAGGAAATGTTTACAGAAGCTTTTAACATTTCTTAGTTTAGCCTTAAAAGGGGGAGATCTTTTGAATTCTATGAAATATACTTGCCAAAAAACGGGCAATATGTAGTTATCTAAAACAAATTAAAAAAAAAAAAAAGCTTTATTGCCTTTAATTGGAATAAAGGTCAGCATTAACCTGATCATTTAAATTCAACAGTCAAATATATAATGGACATAAGTAAAGGAAAAAAAAAAAAAAAAGCAACAAACAGAAAACCCAAACAAGGCAGCTGGTTTCTGGCTAAAGACTCAACTTGTATAAAACAGGATGTCATTCTCTTTGGCGCTCCCCTGAGATCTTTAAGACTCATTTCTGGCTTCCTGAGGGATTTGCCCTGCTTTTCCTTACATAAATTGTCCTAAGGATGTCTCCAGTAGCTCATACTCGCAAACACAGGTGCCGTGTTGCTTTTGCTGGGCAGTATTTTCTTTTCATTTGTCCTTGATTTATTAGAATGGCCAATATACATAAAGCGGTGCGGTGGTGACGGTGCTTAAGTCTCTTCTAGAAGGTCATCTGAAGCGTTTAACCTCACCAAGGTGTAGGTGGGGGGGGTGAGGAGGGAGGGACAGGATGAAGGGAACTGTACTAATTAATTTTTAAAATAAATTCACCTCCATAAAATGCTAATGTCTGTTGGAGTGGGGGTCAGTCACCTTTAGGCAGGTGGTGCTAGTTCTAAGATGCTGCGGTGAAGCTCGGCGTCAATAATGTACAGAACTGCTGGGCTTCACTGATCAGCAATAGGAAGGAAAGAAAAAAAAAATAAAATCATGATAGCTTGTATTGACCAAAAAAAAAAACAAACCCAAACCTTTAGAACACCAAATTTACCTATTATAGTATGTTTCAGTACCAGAGTTTTGAGTTAAATTGCTCAGCCAAACTGCAGACGGGAAGCGCTCCACTTTCATTGTGCTCATAGTGCAGCAGGGCCCCGGTCCCGCGCCCCGGGGCGATCCTCACCGAAGGAATGAGATTTGCACCTTCTCTGCTCGGGCTTTTCGTTCGGTTGGGACCATTCTGTGTGCACAGCTGAAAGCCTGCGGGTTGTTCCCCCAGCCCGGTTTCCAGGAGAAGGAGGCTCCTGAACCAGAACTTAGGGTGCACAGCTCTTTTTGGGGAAAAGGGGACATGCGTGAGCAGCCATCGGCCTGCTACTCGGTGCAGGAATCACTTCAAAGCAAATGTATAAATTGTAAATTTAACTAGGAATTTTCTTTGCAATTTTGGCCATCATATTCTGTTCAAAGACAGGAACATGGATCCTTTTACCAAGTAAAAAAAGGCTCATTTAAAATGTACCTAAAATTTTAGGAAATTGTGCACCCTTTTATCAATTTGTATAAAGGCTTTAGTGAAAAGAAAAAAAAAAAAAAAACAACTGTTAAAATTAAACTTTTTGTATTCTGGGGTGTATCTATTTTTATTCTGTTGGAAACCTATTTAAAGTGGCAGGTGAGTGAGTGCTTGCGTGTCGAGTGGAAGACTTGTTTCAATCACCTACTTTAATAGTACAGCTGAATGACCTCATGACAGCAGAGTATTGGGTTGACTTGTCATGAAAGCTGCTGCTGGTCCTGTGTGCTGTTTCTAATGTACTTTTAATTGGAATAAAGAACACATACTGAATGATGCCTCCGCTCATTTCTTGCTTGAATACCTGGTTGCTCTTAAAAGCCTTGGGTAAGGATGTTCCCAGCCAGGACTCCTGATGAGTTTTCTATTTACGACCTTCTCAGAGCATCTTGTGCTGGACTGAACTTCACCTGATTTAATGCTGAAATTCTTAAAAGTTTCCCAGGAGGAAGCTTGTTAAATGACACTGTGCAATAAATGAGCTCATAAAACACTCTTCTTCTCCTCCCTAGTGCTTCCTGTGCCAGGCTTGGCAGAGTTGCTGCCAAGACCTCCCCTGTATCAGAAGGGGAGAGCTGGGGGGGAAAAAAAAAGGTGTTTTCCCTGCACTCTGCTTGCTTAAATCAAGACTTGATGTGGTTTTTAGAAAAGGAAATAATTCACATGCACATCTTTGGAGGTGCTGTAGCCTGGGTGAGTTTGTTAGAGGACCAAACCCTTTATCTGAGATGGATCAATTCAGGAGGAATATCCTCCAGCCTGAGAAGTGCTGTCTGCTTTGATCCAAGTTGCTCTTACTCTTCTGTTGTTGGTTCAGGCATCGGCCCCCGCACGCTCTCAAAGCTGCGTGGTGGTCACCGTGGCTCTGGGAATTGGCAGGGGGCAGTCAGGGATCTGAAGCACTTCCTTCTCCCTTGGGGTCTTGGATTTAACACAGGAGGGAGAGAAAAGCTCCAGGAGGGTGTGGACAGCAGCTGACTGTCCAGAGTCTGATTTGGACAGTCCCGGAGGTATTTGCCATCAAATTAATGGCTTTTCTTGGTTTAGAGGAGATGTGATGGCTAAACCTCCACATAAATCATTTCAAGTTCAAGTTTCAGCCTAAAAGGTTTTATTGATTGTACTACCACGCAGTATGAAAACACTCTGAAACTTAGAAGTAACATAATGTACACAAAACCAGAAGGGAATTAACCACCTAACGCTGAATGAAACACAGAAAATGGTCCCTGTTCCTGAAACTAAGTGAAACACTTTGCTCCCCGCGGAGGTTTGATGAAAAGCACCCATCTGTTTCAACACCCTGGTCTCCCTGAAGACACCGGGATTGCTCCTGTGCCGGTGCCATCGCTGCAGCAGTAGGTAACACCATTTCAGCTGGCACCGCTTTCACACAGCCGCTGCACCCCAACACCTGCTTTAGCAGCAGGTGCTGAGCTCTTGGTCAGCACCAGGATCAGTTTTCTACCACTCTCCTGTTTCTCCCGCTGTTCTCGGCTGGTTTGGCAGTTACACTGGGGTTAAAAAAAAGCTGGGTTTACCTCAGAATATTAAAACTAGCTCATCTGTGTGGCAAGTGGTCCCTTTTTTAGTAGATTAAATTATTCTCTTTGAATCATATAAATTTCCATTAGAAACCTAGAAGATGGGTTTTTTTAGCACAAGCACATTGTATTTATCTAAAACCTGCCAAGTTACCCTACCAGCCTTTTTTAATGATGGTTTAGTAAAACATGGCCTACTGCCTGAGCCAATTCCTCAAGTCAAAATCAATGAATATAATTTTATTTAAAAATTCTCAAAGCAGAACTTGCTTTCTTAGAATAACTCATTTCAGTGTAAAGGTGTTAAATGCAAGTATTTTGTAACATCCCATCTTAACTACCCATCTATTCTTACCTATGGATCACACGAGTTGAATGAGAGAAGGAGAACTAAGGAGAAAATCCTGCTGCTCACCAATATAGCCAAAATAATAACTATTTGTTCTTAAGAAGGCAATGTAGTCACACTCTTAAAAGCTGCACTGAGGTTATCCAGAAAGAGCTGAGCCCTCACAGGTATATTACCATCTGTCTTGCAATTTAATACTTCACAATCATCCATTAAACTGTTATTACATTCCAGATGGTTTTCAGGTGTGATCTCCTTTTCAGTTACTCTGGAGAAGAAGATGCTTAGGATGATGACAACCTACTGAAGACGGTCCTCCAGAGTAACACAGTTCTGTTTCCACCTTCCCAAATAGGTGCCTCTGCACCCGGATCCACTGCGGGAAGTGGTACCTTCCTGAAATAGAGAAAAGGACAAGGGGAGAGGTCTTGGAAACTTCAGTCTTCAAAGAACAACATCGGCGATTTCAAAAAACCAAACAGGCCAAAGGTTGGTTGTGCTCAGGAAGCAATTTGTGATGGCACACGTGAAAAAGATGCTGTTTTGGTAGCAGGTATATACACTTGAAATACTATTTCGACACCTATACACGAGCCAGCTTCAAAGGGAATTGTAGGAAGATGGGAAGATGAAGGAATAGGCCCAGGAAACATCAGACTCTCATTTTTTTTCAGAAGTAGCAACGCATCCCACTCGGCAGAACGACCCGCGGCAGCGTCTCTGTGCGCCTAAAGGCCTGCATCGTGCCGCTCTTTCAGTCGGAGGCACAGCACGGACTTGTGGAGAATCCCACATTCCTGGAGGGACCTCGTGAGGTCAGAGAAACTCCTTCGGGGCACCTCCATCGTTTCAACGCTGCAATGTTTGTATTTGGCTGACATTTTCTGTTCTGCCACGGCAAGGACCGCCTGGAGACTGTCGGTGGGCTTGAAATGATGTTCAAATCTCTGACCAGAGGGAGATCGAAGAGCAAGCAGCAGGTCTGACTCTTCTTTCAGCGGCTCTTCCAAACCCGAAGTCCACATCGAAAGGCTTTCTTGCCTCATTTTCCTCCCGGGCTTCTCAGGAGGACGTTGCAGGTGTGAGCTCCCTTCATCTGGGACCCCACTTGCTGACAATACGCCGGCAGATCCTCGTTCTCCGGAAAGAGTTTTGATTTTCAGAGCATCCTCCTGCCCCCCGCTCACTTCCAGCCGGCCGGTCTGTTCCGCCGCCGCTTCCACAGCGCCGCTCCCTGCGCCCTTCCAGCCGATGGAGGGGAGCACCCTGTACTTGTTCAGGGAAGAGGAGGTCCTCAAAGGCACTTGCCGCAGGAGCTCCGGGATTTCCTCGGGAGACGCCTGGCCGGATGGGAACGCCGGTTTTGTGGCCAACACTCTCCGGCTGTTCACTAGTTTGTGAGGAGGTGCTGGTGGTGGGGAAGATGGCACTTGGCAAGGACAGGCTTCCAGGCTCTGAGAATAATTGAAGCTCGGCCTCGTGCGCCCCTTGGCAGATTTTGGCCTGGTGACGTGCATGTCGGCGGCGTTTCTCCCCAGGAAAGCGGCTGCTGTGCTTGAAGGGAAGTAGAGGTGAGCTGGTGCTAAGTTCAGGAGAGCCGCTGTGGCCATCGCTTCTCACAGCACCTGCGGATGGGGTAGCAGAAGGAAAAGTTACAGGAATTGGCCAGAAAGCTTCTCGAGAGCTTAATCTCCACACAGCTCCCACTTTTGTGCTGCATGTCAGCTAATAATAGCAATAAATCTGGTGTATCACCGAGTAGGCAGGCGGCAATCCTACGCTTCGGTGACAGCTGAGTCAGAGCCAGCGGGATAGGTGTATTTATAAGTGCTGGCTTTGTCAGGAATTGTTTAAAGATGACCCAGAGCATCGGGAAGTTGTGCCCTTCCCAACTGAAAGAAAGTTTTTGATGGACGGAACAGAACCATTGTTTTCTGAAGCCAGAAACTCAGTGAAAATGGGAGATGAGTGAACTTCAAAGCACAGATCTGGCCTTTTCACTCTTCCTGCAGTGACAGATTAAGTTCCCGTTGTGGACTTTTGGGTAAGACTGACTACGCTTCGCTTTTTAAAAAATCTCTGAAGACCTTTGAAACTGAGTATGTCTGATTCAATACAGAGAAACCCATTCTGACTTCTCCCGTGACCAAAAGCTGCTTGACAGAGATTGGTATTAACCTTTGTTAACACATCATGTTCTGATGTGTGTTCCCCAACCTAAGCTGTGCTCAGACCACTTGTGCTTTACCAGGACAAAGCCGTCCAACAGCCCAGATGACCGGGTCTCAACTTCACAACAACATTTTGGAGAAGTGCGACAGGGTCACACACCTCCTCTCCCTTTTCTGAGGTTTGAGTAGCAGGATTTGTCAAGGCGGGGGGGGAAAAGTCAACACTGATCACATGGCATTCCCCAGTAATGATAAAGTCAGACTCGCCTGCCGCTCATCACCCCAAAACAAACAAACAGAAGGGAACAGCCACTGTGGTTGTTCCACAACCTTTTGCCAGCGATGCGTTATTTATTGCTTGGTTTCTCCTCGTGGTAAAATGGAACCTCTCAGCAAACCAACGCCGAGCAAAGCCAAGGCAGAGTCCCAGCACACAGGCGTGCCCTGACCAGTGCCAGTACAAAGGTGCTTGGAGATGGAGATGTGTCCCTCTGTAAGCCTCGAGCAGCGCTACAGGGAGGGACACGGCACCCAAGTGACTCGTCCAAGTTTCCTAGGAGCCTGGGGAGGGAGGGGAGGGTGCACCTTTCATGTGCTGCCTCTAACAAATAAACTCTAAGGCAACAAGCTGTAGCTTGGCATCCTCTGAAGAGGAACTCCCGAGCACATGGGAGCACTTACCAGATACCACCAGTTATGCTGCCAGTCCAAAAAATAAAAACCCCAGAACAACCAACCTGCCAGAAGCCATGGTGGGACCAGCACGCTCTATATTAGAGGTTTCCCTCTCTTAAATATGGCACATTTCACATTTGGGTGCCTGGGTGAGGCGCTGGGAACTGCAGGCAGGGCGGGCTGCGCCCACAGGTGCCCCCAAAACGTGGAGACACCAGGGCCTGGGTGGGGAGGCACCCCAAGCCCCTGACCTTCCAGCACAGCCCCAGCTCCCCAGCAGAGCCCCTGGTGCCACAGTGCAGCCCCAGCCCCACAGCCCGAGCCCCATAGCCCGGGCCCCATTGTCTGGCCCCACAGCCCAGCCCATGACCCCATGGCCCCACAGCCCAGCCCCTGGCCCCACAGCTCATCCCACAGCCCGCCCCATGGCCCCACAGCCCAGGCCCCCGAGTCTGCCCCACAGCACGGCCCGGGCCCCACAGCCCGCCCCACAGCTAGGCCCGGGCTCACGGCCCCACAACCCACCCCACAGCTCAGGCCCGGGCCCACGGCCCCACCACAGCCCGGGCCCGGGCCCACGGCCTCACAGTCCATCCCCCGGCCCCACAGCCCGCCCCACAGCCCACCCCACAGCTAGGCCCGGGCCCATGGCCCGTCCCGGTCCCGTCCCGCCCCTCACCCGCCGCCTCCGGCCGCCGGCACACAGCGCCGCGTTGCCACGGCGACCGCCCCACTTCCGGTCGCGCCACAGGCCCCGCCCCTCAACCATAGAGGCGACCTGACCGGAGCGGCGCCGGTCGCGGTCCTCCGGGCGCCATGTCGCGACACGAAGGGTGGGGATGGGGCCGGGGTAGTGTGGCCGGGCCCCCGCGGCCTCGCCCCCTGGCCCCGGGGCTGCCAGAGCGCAGGGAGTCGCTCTCGTTTCCCCCATCCCAAAACCGCGCTGTTGTCACCCTAGTTCAGTACCGAGAGCCTTCTTTTTTTAAACCCTGAAAGTTCAAAAACGTGGTGTTGCACCTTCTCAAAGCAAAGGCAGCAGAATGGGAACGGGACTGGGTTTTAACCCCCTGTTGTGACCCGAGTTTCATAATGGTGTGATTGAACAGCTTCACCAGAGCGATCGCTGAATAAAACTGGACAAATAAACCCCAAACTCATTCGTTTTGATGAGAATGCCTTTGTAAAATTATACACAAGACCACCCAGGCACCTAAACCAACTTACCGGGGGGGGGACGACGACATTTTAAGCTCCCTTTGTGCTGGGAGATCCACAGCCAGCAAGCATCCCGGTGTGCGCTGAGAGGGCAGGGGGTCCCCCCCATCCCCTGGGCTGTAAACGATCCCTGAGGCAGTTTGTGTTGTGGGCACACACCAAGTAACGCTGACATTTCCATCTCTCCCTGTTAATCCCTTTTTAAACCTGATTCTAGTTAACCAGATGCTTCTCCCACTAACAGATGCCCACCAAAGGCAGCAAGAAACAAGCAATAAATAACTTAAGATAACTTATCTACCCTGCGGGTGGGAGAAGATCAAGGCATACCCACGCACTAAAAAGGTAGGAAAATAGTTGCATATCAGCTTATCCTGTCCACGGGGTGTTCAGCAATTTTGCACCAAAGACACGCGCTTTGCAGATCAAAGCACCGGGTGTATTTACATTTCAGTAAGGCCCTGAACAAACAGATGAGCGGGTTGATATCCCTCTTTGTTTGCTCTGTGGGAAGGCTGAAAACTTCCATATTTCCGACAGGATAATAACATCCACGGGTGGTTTTTAAGCCCTCGGGTTTATGGCTTGACCAAAGATAGGATTTAGCTTTGCGTGTGCGCTCTCCTGAGATCCTCCGGAGAGAGAGAGGGCTTAAAATGAGGGGATTTGGTTAAAGCCACCAATCTGCGTGATCCCAGCCCTCTGGTCTCTGTTTAGGCTCCCGGACGGTGCTGTTCACACAGGTTTAGCCAAACTCTGCAGCAAAACCCCAGGGGATCAGGGTCACTTTCCCCATCAGGGCTGACACAGCAGCAAACCCACCCCGAAAGTGCAGGACCTGCAACGCCAAAACACAGGCGCAGCGAGCGGTGCAAATAATGACCACCACAATGGGGAAAATCTGCTCTAATGGAAGGGTTTTGTGGATGAGGCGGAAAGGGGGTGCCATGGTTATAAAAGTCAGGTGGGGAAGGCAGGAGGTTTGGGTGTCAGTGTGGTGCCCAGCGGTTTGCATCGTGGCATTTCGAGATGGTTTCCTGGGCAGATGGTGAGTGGGTAAAGCCACGCGGCACGCCTGAGTGGGTGGGGAGGTAGGCGAGCTGTTGCTGCCCATCCTTTTCTTATTGGGCTTGGATCACTTTTTATTCCACTTGGCAGCAGGAAAGAAAAGGCGAGAGGGGAGAAAAGCCCTGGGATAGACATGTGTCAGCCTCGGAGGGCAGCTGGGCGGTGATGTCCCTTCCAGTGGAAAGCTTTGGCCGCTCTCAAGAAATTCAGCAATGGCCATTTCCTTACAATCCCTCCTCAAATTCCTTCCCCTAGAAGTGTGGTTACTTACTGAGGGTGGAGCCCTGCATACAAACCAGATACGGTACATCTGTGTCTGTGTTTGCTCTCGGCCCCATGGTTTTGCAGGGAAGATAGCAGCTTTTGTTTCTTATCTCCTCCGGTTTTCTGCCTCCCTTGTGTCTTCGTGTCATGTCTCAGTTATAGCGATTAAAAAAACTGTATTCAAAAAGCATTCCAAGGCGGGTTTCCATGGTGTTTCCAGCCCTTGCTGCTGATGATTTAATTTCTCAGACCCTTTACCCACACGCTCCCAGAGTCTCCCATGCCCTGAGGGCAGGACAGGAAAACTACAGACCCACGAAATGCGGCCGCGGCATTCGCCATCCTTCCTTTGCCTCCCCTTGCTATTCGGCGTGGCCGGATGTGGGTGCAGACGTGGATTTGGAGGGGGGAAATTGCAAGGGAAAGACCCAAGAGAAACCTCCTCTGAGGTTGCAGGGCGTGAGTTGATAAAACCAAGCACCCACTCGAGACGACACCGAGGCCAAAGTGCCACCGCTGCAGCTGGAACAAGGATGCAACGGCCTCTGCGGTGCCAGCTCTGCACCTCTGGGGCATAAATCGCTGTTGTCCTGCCTCTCCAGCCACCGAACCCCACAGCTTTTAAAACTACAGCCAAGACCTTGACTGGCCTCATCCAGAAGCCGCGTCGCAGATAGAGGAGGGGATGGACCTCGCCAGCTATATAAAGCAAACCCGCTAAGCCGGAACTCCTGGAGCTGCGAGGTCCAGGCGGGGTAAGGAGAGAGGGGATTTTATTGCCCTGTTATTTCATCAGACGGCTTGGGGGGGCGGCGGTGGGAGGCTGCCGAGGGTGAGCTTCTCCCTCAGTCCTGACCCGCCGCGTCTCTGTACACATCCCTGCCGAGCGCCGCATCCCGCACCCGGAGTCCGAAGGGCCCGGGGACCGTCCCACCGACACTGATGTCACCCTGAGGTGCTGCCAGGGGCACCCCGCTGGCTCCGGGCCCTTGGCGCCGGCGCGGGGACAGCATCCCTCCTGCCCCCGGGGTGCTGCTCATCGCCTGCCCTTCTGGTTTCCTCCTCCAGGACCAGCCTGAGGATGAAGAATCTCCTCTTTGCCGTGATCTTGGCTTGCGGTAAGCGCCCCGGTTTCACCACACCAGGCTGGGATCTCATCTGCCTGGCAAAAAAGACGCACAAACCCTTTGTGCGTGATTTTTGGTTAAATTTTGCAGTTTCTCTCTAACGCTTCATGGAGCACACTGGAGGTCCTTGTGATGGTGAGGCTTTGGGATGCTCCGATCCGTATTTATTTTAAGAGGCCCTGGAGCCTGTTGTCACCTGCTTCCCTGCCTGTGCCGAGCCCAGGGCTGATCCTGGCAACGTGGCTGGTTGCAGGATGCAAGCGCGGCACAGAGAGCGGTGATATCAAACCAAACCAAATCAGGGAGCTGCAGAAGCCAGACACAATCCTGAGGGTTTTTTTTTGGGGGGGGGGCTTCTCATGGTCCAATGTGCCTAAAAGCAGGTATTTCCAGCAACACCGGACTTAATTTAATTCCCCTGCCCGGTGCGAGGCGCCTGCCTCCTCGCTCTGCCCTGGTGTGAGCCCGTCCCTCTGCCCCTCCGCAGGGCTGCTGCCGGCCCGCGGCAGCGTTTTGGAGCTGGAGCGGATGATCAAGTCGACCACGGGGAAAAGTGCCCTGCTCTCCTACAGCTGGTACGGGTGTTTCTGCGGCATCGGGGGCAGAGGGACCCCGGTGGACTCCACCGACCGGTGAGTACCTGGAAAAGCATCGCCACTCGCTGCCCCGCTGTGGGGGGGTCCCCAAAAAACCCCTCACTGGCAGCCCGCCGGCACTGGTGGGCTCAGAGAGGGGGTTTTGCAGCGTTCCCCAAGCCACGTCTTGCTGCTGCCTCATCACCCCCTCCTCCCAGTCACCTTAAATTTGAGGCTGGACCTTCCTTTACCTTCCAGCTGTGGAGAGGGAGGGTTCGGGGGGGCAGTGGTTTGACGTGGTGTCCCCCCGCAGATGCTGCCTTGCCCATGACTGCTGCTACAGGAGGCTGAGAGAGGGCAAGTGCAGACCCCTGATAACCCCCTACCACTTCGACACTGACGATGGAGACATCGTCTGCAGTGAGTACCGCCGAAACGCAGTGGTCCCGCAGAGGTGGGGAACCAGCACTGCTCCCCACAGCACCCCGGCCCCCGAGCAGGGTACACAGGAGGGCATCCCCCGCCCCCCCCGGGGATGAAACCGGCCTGATGCCCGACTGGGTGCATATGGGAGGATGCAGAGTGCGATAAATAAATGGGCACTGCAAGGGAATTGGGCAGGTTGTGGAGGGGGAGCACTGGGGCACTCTTCCCCCGGGCAGCTCCAGGCGTGGGGGGTGCCCCGAGGGGACCCCCTCGCCGACGCCAGCCGGAAAAGCCACGGCAGAGCACCGCGTTTCCCTCCCGCAGGTAACGAGCAGAGCTGGTGCAAGAAAGAGACCTGCCTCTGCGACAAAGCGGTGGCTTCGTGCTTCGCGAGCGCTTTGCATTCCTACGATAAATCCTACCGCTTCTATTTCAAGCTGAAATGCCGAGGAAGTAAGCTCCAGTGCTGAGGAGGGGAAGTCTGCACACGAAGTTGCAGATTTTGATGGGCTTTCCCCATTTCTATGGCAAGAAAAACCTGATGTGGGGGCTGACCAGAGCCAGAGCCAGCAAGGCTCACCGCGGGGTGATGCTCAGGGTGAGGAAGGGCACGCACACATTACGGATGGAGGTCCCCCCAGAACGACACGCCAGCTTCCATTTTTTTGTCCCTTCCTCCTCTCTTTTGGTTTAATTTCCCAGCAAAGATAATAAAAAGTATTCAAAATGATTCTCCGTGGTGTTTTTTCTGTAAGAGCCACTGAGATCGAGGCACTGCAAAGGTGGCATCCGGGCTTCTGAGTTTGGGGAGCACTTTTGCATCTCCCACCTTAGCCACACCGTCTGCCTGACACCCCGATACTCCCATGGTCCCGACAGCAGCTGTAATTCACGGGTCTATCCTGCTGCAGAGCAACGGGACTGCTGCCAGATCGCCAGCGACAGAGGAGCACTTCACATCAAGAAACGGGGACAAATAACTGCCACTAAGTAAAACTCCCTGGGGTTTGATAATAAAATAATTCCGAGTCCTGATGGCAGTCAGGCTTCTCCCAACAACCCTTCCTGCGAGCTGAACTCACTCCCGGGGCTAAAACAAAACAGTGCATTAAGGGGCAGGCAAGATATGTCCAAAAGGTCTTTTTACAGGAATAATGGAGGTAGGAAAATGTGTGAGACTATCTGAGACCCTCCTGTGACGGATAAAAATGGTGACCAAAATTAAGGCTAAAGAATAGTTATCTGCAGAGGAAGGAAATGTTCAAAGCCTCGTCCATCCCAAGGCGGATGCTGAGTTAGGAGGGTGGTTAAGTTGGCGACTAAATAGTTTCTCCATGAGGGATGAGTTCTGCCCAGGGGTTGCAAAGAGGAGGCGGAAGAATCGTGCAGAGAGAAATAAAGGGAAGATGCATTCACTCGCCCCAAAACATCCATTTTGCTTCATTCTCCTCTCACGGTGGGTGAGCGTTTTGTCACCTGGTATCTGTGTAACACTGTGTTTCTGGGAACTGTGCATTTAGAGATGCTTTTAGTGTTGCCCATCTACTTTTCCCAAAAAACCAATAACTCACCCTGGACCAGCTTTGCAGCATGGCACAGGGACAGTTCCCAAACTGTCTGACCGCCCAAAAACCCCAAACCTGCTTCTTTCCTGGGTACCAGGATGCAAAAGCTGAAACAGGGCTAGCATTTCTGCCCCTGATACGGCACCGTGGTGCTGGAGATGGCAGAGAAAAAGGCACTCGGGCACCTCCAGCCAGGGCAGGGAGCGTTGCCTTCCTACTCGGGCTGGAAATGACACTGCTTTGCCAGCTCATCTCGCCCAGTTCCAGCCCCTGTGGACGGGGTATGGAGCTGGGGCGTTGGGGGGATTTCTTACATTCCTGTAAAGGGGAAAGACAGCGCCTTCTCCTTTGCAGAAAAGCCCGGTCAGCAAGATGCGGGCGAAACGAGCATCCGATGGCGGGAAGCAAACCCTATATAAAGCAAGGCTGGCCAGCTGCAGAGCCCTGCAAGCAAGTGGTGGCTTTCCTGAGGTGAGCAGGGGTGGAAGGAGGCTTTTCCTTCCTTTCTTACTTTAACCAAAAGCCGCGGTACAAGTGGGGAGTGAGGTCTGTGCCGGGAAAGCAGGAGCAAAGGAGATGCTAGCTGAGATGCCAGCCCAGAGGCAGAGCATCAGGCTGCAGCCCTCAAGGGCTGATAGTTCCTCTACATTTCTTCCTTTCCCTTCATTTTGCTTTTTCCCACCCATTCATCACCCGCTGGAGCGATGGTGATGGGCTCACCCTCGCCCCCCTCATCTCCCCTAATCCCCAGAAGTGAGGAGCATCACTGCCCCCGGACAAGGGGGGAAGCAAAATAGAAAGTGGTTGATATAATGGGGAAATGGTTTGGTTTTCTCTTCCAGGGCTGTTGAAAAGATGAACTTTCTCTTCACCTTCGCTGTGCTGTTTGCTTGGGGTAAGCGTCCTCGCTTGCACCGGTCCCACAGCTCTCCATGCAGTTACGCCCGTGGAAATTAGGACCAGATTGGTGATTTCTGAATCTTTCCTCACGACCTCCCCTCCCTCTGAAACGTGCAACACTTTGTTTCTTCTCCATTGCATCCACTCATTTTTAAGACGTTACCAGCCTAGTACCTGTTTGGGGGCTGGAGGGATGGGGATGCTGCTGGGGAGCCGGGTGTAAGTGTGAGTCCCACCGATTTCCCCCCCCCCAGGCTTGTCCCCAGCTCGCAGGAGCCTCTGGGATCTGCACAAGATGCTCACGAAGGCGACGGGGAGGAGCACCTTGCTGCATAACTCCTTCTACGGCTGCTACTGCGGCCCGGGCAGCCAAAGGCAGCCCAAGGATGCCACGGACAGGTAAGTGCCCGTTTAAAAACCTCCCTGCCCCAACAAATCCTTGCACGGTTTCAAAAGCCGGGGGGTAGCAGGTAAAAAAAAAAAAAAAACAACCCCCCCCAAAGCTTTGAGCTCCCGCGCAAGATGCTGCCAGCTGCACGATACCAGCTACAACAACCTCCTGATGCAGGGCTGGCGCCGCGTCGGGGCCTGCAGCAAACGTTCCCGCTTCTACCCCAAGCACCGGCGCCGGCAGCAGGGATGGGGGGCTGGAGGACACGTGTGGGCTCTGCACCCCCATCGCCCTACACCCCTGCCTGCCCCGACCCCCTTAGCGCTGCTGTAAATTTAATCAACGTGAAAATAAACGACGTGCTTAAACCACCCCGGTCCTCTGTGAGGTGCTGCTGGGCAGAGGGAGAAATCCCCGTAAAATAACTCAACATCATCCTCCCCAAACTTTGCAAAAACTCAGCCTCGGTCCCTGCGTCACTCCGGGCTGCAGCCCGCGGGGAGAGGGGGGGTTTGGCTGGCGAGGGAAGGGGCGTAGCGTAAAGCGGTTTTGGGACAGACGAGTCGTTTCAGCATTTCCAGTGCGGAGCCCGCGGGGCGGCCACGGAGGGCAGCGAGGAAGAGGAGCCGGAGCGATCCCCTGGTGAGCAACTCCCACCCTCGCCCCGCTGCTGCGGAAACAAAAATACAGGGGGGGGTGTTGGGAGGAGGCAGCAGGCGTGCTGCTTTCTGCTGGTTTCCATGCCTGTAGATAGAGTGTAATTGCTTTCAGGTAAAAACTCAGCTGGGAAGTTGTAGCCCCGCGGGGAATAGCTGCACTGGTGCTGCAAGTTGATGCGCTGGGTGCCACAAGCGGTGGGGTGGGAGGGGGGAGATGCTCGGGTGGTGGGACAGCTTCAGAAAGCGCTTGCTTCCCGCCAAGAGGCAGCAACGCAGATCCAGGGGAGCATGGCTGCCTTCCTCCCTCCAAATTCCAGGGTGATTTGACCTGGTTTCGGAGGGACAAGGTTTGCAGGGCAGTGCCTGTTGACTGGCCACCCTGCCTGCCTCAGTCTGTTCTCTGTTTCTCCTCCCAGGCCCGGGTGAGAGGAAGATGAAGGTTCTGCTGACGCTGGCGGTGCTGTTCGCCTGCAGTAAGTGCCGCCGTTCCCCGACCCACGGGTGGGAGCCAGGCCGCAGCCCCGCGCCAACGCAGGGAGCGTCCCCAAAACCCTGAGCACTCCCTGCGGAGACTCCCAGCAAAGCCCTCCTCTCCCCTCTGGTTCCCTCGGCTTCGTTTCTGCATCTGACTCGCACAAAATTCATTTTTCCGGTCACTCCAGGTGTGTTCACAGCTCATGGGAAGCTCCCGCGCGCGTTCACACCGGGACTCGAGGGCAGCACCGTAGGAAATCTGACCGCCCACGGGTGCCACTCGGGATGGGGCAGCAGCGGCACCTCGAAGGGTTCAATGGACCGGTACAGGCAGAGCTGCCCGGGAGGGCTAACACTGGCCCTGGGAAGGCTAACACTGGCCCTGGGAGGGCTAACACAGGCCCTGGGAAGGCTAACACAGGCCCTGGGAAGGCTAACACTGGCCCTGGGAAGGCTAACACTGGCCCTGGGAGGGCTAACACTGGCCCTGGGAGGGCTAACACTGGCCCTGGGAGGGCTAACACTGGCCCTGGGAAGGCTAACACTGGCCCTGGGAGGGCTAACACTGGCCCTGGGAGGGCTAACACTGGCCCTGGGAGGGCTAACACTGGCTCTGGGATAATCCCGGGGCTTGTGAGCGACCCCAACAGCATCCTCTGAAGCTCTGCAAAATGCGGATGGGCAGCAGCAGAAAGGGAGCAGGTTTTAGGGAAGGGGGGAAAGCGCGGCCAGTGTTCACCCCTAATTCCAGCCCTGTAGGCAGTCCGGTCCTGCCAGTGCCAACCGGCTGAAATCAAAGGGCTGGCACCAGAGGACAGGGACGGTCCCAGTCCCAAAGCTGGGGTGCACAGGGGCGCGGGACGCACGGGGGGAGCAGAGAAGAGGCTTGGCATGAGAAAGGGCAGGAAAGAGCAGCTCCCGAGCGATGTAGAGCGGGAGGAGGATGCAAATGCTGGTGGCTCTTCCCACGCCGCGTGCAGAGCCTGTGTGGGGTGGGTTTGAAGCAGCCGGGTGCCACGTTTCGGATGAGGCCAGGCTCTCCTCCTCCCTGCAGGTGCTGCCTGCTCCGTGCCTGCTGCTACGCCAAGCTGGCGGCACGGCGCTGCCGCGTGGGACCCATCCAGCCCCTCTCAGCACCCCGGGCAGGAATCCCCACCTGCAGTGAGTCCTCGCAGCCACGGTTTGGCGTGCCTCTTTGCCAGACCATCTCCCTCCTTTGTGGTGCCCTTTTTTTTTTTTTGGGGGGGGGGAACACCCCAGGAATCTCCCCCAAAAGATCTCAGGGTGGTTTTTTTTTTTCTCTGGTCCCTGCAGGCTCGGGGACCTGGTGCCAGAGAGGTGCCTGCAGATGCGAGCGGGCAGCCCAGCTCTGCCGGTTGCGGGGCCGGAGGCTGCTCCGGCTGCGGGGGCTGCTCCGGCGTCGTGGCAAATGCCGGGGACGAGCCGGGCGATGTTGAAGCCAAAGGGCTCCTTGCAAAACCACCTCCGGGCTGATAAGCAAAGGGATGGCGCGGCCCGGGGAGGGGTTCCCAACCCGGGTGGGTCTCCCCCCCTTGGGGCTTTTTGGCTTCGCTGCGAGGACAACCACCCTCTCCGTGAAGCTGCGTCATTATACACTGGATCCGAGGAGGGGAAGCGGCGCAGATGCAATTTTTCAGCGCAGAAAAACAAGGGAGGGGTGGACACCTGCACCTCATCGCTGCAAAGGGAGAGATGGAAACGAGCGCGAGCCTCTCCGCTGACACTCATTTCCCCTTGGCTCGAGCTCCCCGTGCAGGCTGTCAGCTCCCTCTGCTTTTTGCTTCACTGCAAATTCTCTCCTGTTGCTCCAAAATAAAACCAGAGAGCGCAAAACATCGGCCCTCAGTGTGACGTGACTCAGCTGAGCCCAGCGACCACCCCTTGCAGGCAGCGGGCAGAGGCTAACCTCTTAGCTAGGTTCCCCGTTGAAATGCCCAGAAAAAAAAATGACACCCGAGAGGTGATGCATCTCCCACCGACATGCATCTGCACCCCTGAACCAGCCCCCCAGCCTTCAGGCTCTGACAATTTGCAGTTGCTGCGAGATGGAGAAATCCTGGCTGGTGCGGAGGGCTGCGGGCAGGCACGGTGCTGGGGGAGGGCCGGGTGCTGGCAACCTTTGCTGCGACGGGGTGGCCGGGAGCTTGCCTCACGCCCAGCGTGGAGCAAAACATATTTCTCACCAGAAAAGAATGTTTTGGCCCAATTCTGCAACAACCCCGAGCACGTCCCCTAGGAAAAGGCAGCTCAGGCAGTGGCTGCTTCCCCTCTAACCACCGCCGCATCCCCACGGGGCAGGTTTTCTGCTCTGCAGACCAATTCAGCAGGGTTGGCCCCCCCAGGAGGTCTCAGCAATGAAATATAGACACAGAAACAGCAACGAAATGCTATTTCCCTGAGGGCTGATGTCCTAGACACCAGCAGCTGTAATTCCTACCCTGGCTTGCCCCAAAGCTGAAGTCAACAGCACCAGGAAACATCCCTTAAATCAGCAACGTTTCCCTCTGGTTATAACCCAGGCATCAAGCCCTGCCACCCTCTTCCTCCAGCAGCATTTAGCCCTGGGGCAGACAAGGAAGGAGTGGGCAGCCCTCCACCCACCAGCTGCTGTTTGCAAGGCATAAATCAAGAATCAAATCCTCACCGAGATGGGAGAGGGGCAATCATGCAGACAGATTGCAGACCGGGATGAGCTGAAGCACACTCTCCCTGTTTAAATTCTGGATGAATTTTAACTCTCTCTATGTATTTTTCTGCTTGGACACCTGGCTGTACCAATCCGCTCATACGGAGCTCCAAGCGCTGACACGTTGGCTCAGACACTGCACCCCCCCAGTACATAGCAATAAACTGGGCTGCAAAAGTTGTATTTTGCATACTGCAAATGGGAAACAAAATCCACATCCTTTCAGGAGGCGTTCGGCCCCGGGGAACATCTTATTTCACGTTTGGAGAAGGGCTACTGCATGTGTTGGGGTGGAGGGTCTTCCACCTGGAAGCTCAACCAGTTTGATGCACAAAAATATACCTTTTTCCCCAGTGATAAAAACTGGCTGAAGATTCTGAAAATCTTGAATTATGGCAAGCTATTTGGCTAATTAACTTGCCACCACCCCAGGGGTCTAACTTAGATTGGCCCCGAGAGCTGACAAGGCAAATAGCATCTGCCAGGAGGGGGAAGAGATTTTGCTGAGGCCCTGACCTGAGTTCCCTTTTCTCACCATCTCTCCGATTTCCGTTCAAGTCACAGCCTTGTTCTCTGCCTCAGTTTCCCCATCAGCAACGAGGGGGATTTCCTCCCCGTGGCTCGGTGCCTGCCCGTGCCGGGGTTCCCTGCAAAGCGGCGCAGAGCACTGTGCACCTGCAATCTGCCAGAAGAAAACTACTAAAATGATAGTTCGGCATCACCTACTTAATCAGAGATGCTTTCCAAGCAAACAACATACCCATACTCTTTTTTTTTACCCTTCCATTATACACTGCTTGTCGTTTATTTTTTCCTTATTCTGCTTCTTGCCTTATTCTGCTTCTACATCAGCTGAACCAGACACCTCGTGCAATGCCCCGTGAGCGTTGCCTGCAGCGCCCAGCGCACACGGGGAGAGCAATGGAGCATCCCCAGGTGCAAGAAGCATCTGGGCAAGGACAAGCTCCGGGTAACAAGCAAACCCAGCGTACGGAGCCTTTGCTCAGCCCTACCCTCAGCCACAGCCCGTTCTGGAGGCCCACGGGCCCTCCCTCTGCTCACGGTGCTGCATCTCGCCCACCTCGGTAACTCAGAAACGGAGGACGCTTTGCACTGGCTGCATTTTCTCCCTGCCTAAGTCATGATGGAAACAGTGGGAGACAAAATGGTGTCTTCTCACCAAGACATCAGAAAGCTAACAGTCATCCAGGAAAAGAAGTGGTACCCGTTCTCCCTCCAGTTTTCCCATTTTGTTCAGGGAGGCATTGGGATGCTGAGACACCCAGACACTTGACCCCAGCCTGCCCCACTCATCCCAGTCCACCGAAACCTCCCCTGCAAAGAGCTCCCTCAGCGGAGGGCATCTGGCAACGCTGAGAGGCTTGCACAGCTGGCAGGACCGATATGCTGAGGATTGTCAATATTTGCTCACTTTGGGTTCTCCGAAGGAGGAGCCATGCCAAGCGGGCACACGGGGGGCCCATAAAAGGTACGCCGGGCAGCACCTCGGGCTCGTGCAAACCCTGGAGCTGCCACCGCCAGCCATGAAGCTCTTCTTGCTGCTCCTCTGCCGTGAGTAACCCAACAGCAGCTCTCACCCCGCCGGGCAAGGCGGTGGGGGAAAACCTGGCGCTTGCAATTTCTATCCATAAACAATAAAATTGGGGAGGGTGAAAATGCTTATTTTTTTTTGCTACAGAGCGGTGGGACGCGGGTGTGTGTGTGTGTGTGTGTGTGTGTGCTTTTCCCTGATGCTCCTAACCCCCCCGGCTCCAGTCGCAGGGCTGACCCTCACCAACTGCAACCTGGTTCAGTTCGGTTCGATGATTAGGCACAAGACCGGGAAGTCGCCGCTGTCCTACAACGGTTACGGCTGCTACTGCGGCATAGGAGGATCCAAACAGCCGGTGGATGAGACCGACTTGTAAGTTGGGGCCCGGTGAAGGCAGAGCGGGTGCTCCTGTCCCTCCTCACCTTCCCCTCCCTGGCTACAGCGAGGGGACTGCTCGCTCCTGCTCCTGGCAGCTGAGGTAGCAACGCAAAAATTGTTGCTTGTCCTTCAGACCTTTTTAAAAGTTGCTTAGCGGCCGACGGGAACGGTGCGCATCGGCTTTTCCTCTGCACTCGCAGCGGGAGGCAGAAAGGCAGCAGGATTTCAGCACCGTCCCCACTGCTCCCCGTCCTGCCCTGACCACGGCTCTCGTCCCCCCCCAGGTGCTGCCATGCCCACGACTGCTGCTACAAGAAGCTGTCTACTTCTCGCTGCCTTCCCAAACTGGTCACGTACAAATACCACACCTTCGGAGACCAGCTAATCTGCGGTAAGAGACGACGTGGGGTCAAAGCCCCAAGCATTAAGGCACAACCATCCTCGCTCCAAGGGGAACCTCTCTTCCAAGATGTCCTTGAGATCATCCTGGCTTGGAAACCACCTCCTGGGAAGGGGGGTGGCAATGAGGGGAAAGTGCCAGGAATAGGGCAAATACTTATTTGCTAGGACTAGGGTGAAGTTTAGAGCTTGGAGGAGAGACCTTGCCCTTCTGTAGAGGCCGAATACTGAAGGTTTGAGGCGACCCTCCCAGCCTGGATGGGGCCCTGACCTCGATTTCCCCAGAGCAAACATTGCTGTTTCAGGGTGAGTGGACCAAAGCAAAGCACTTCCCTGCGATCAAAGCAAATATCCATACATATATAGGTATATAATTTACATTAAATGGCCCCTCCAGGGCCACGCATAGCTCCTAGCCAGGTAGCTCCATGCACCAGAGGCAAGAGGAGTTACCCGAGACGCCCCAAACTCAGTGGTGGCGGGGGGCTGCATGCAACGTCAGGGAATGATCCAAAAGACATCCCCCCAACTCTCACACCCTTCACCTGACTTCATCCCTCCCCCAAATTTTATTCCAGAAGCTGGGAATTCGTGCCAAAGGCAGACCTGCGAGTGCGACAAGCAGGCAGCGGAGTGCTTCCAAAGGGCAGCCGTGACCTACAGCAGCATTTACAAGAATTATTTCAGGAGAAAGTGCAAGGGCCAGACTCCTTCCTGCTAGACACGCCAGGCTCAAAACCTGGCAGAAATGGGCTGGACTGTGGCGTTTTCACCTTCCCTGGGGCCAGGCAGCACCAAAAAGGCGCCAGCACCTTTCCCCAGAGCCAATGCCCAGGGAAAGCCTGCTCCCTCCCTGATTAAACAAATCATAAAAATGAGGGAATCCCTGCAAATAAATTTCCAAAAGCAACTTGTAAAGTGTGTTCAGAGTCATGGCCTTGTTTTGGGAACTGATGGTGGTAGGGGTAGGAAATAGGGTAGAGCCTCACACTTCACTTTCTGAAGTAAATTTTCATGCATGCATGGAGTTTCGTATCTTTTTCCTTCAACCCCAAACCAGGCTCCACACCCAGCTCCCCTCAGGGAGCTTGGCTGCAACACAGTCCCATCCCGCTCCTAACGACTAGTTAAGCAATTAATACTCACTAAAGCCACAGGGGAGCATGGTGGTGCTGGTCTCAGGGGCTTGGGGTGGCTTTTTCTTGCACCCCACCTCGCAGGGCAGGTCTCCTCAGGCTGCAGCTCCCTCTCCCAGGGAGAACAAGGCCGCCTTGTCCCTCACTACAGCTGCCCAGGATCTGCAATTAGCACTAACGAGCCCGAGCCAGCTGCCCCTCACCTTGACCTCGATGGAGGCACCTGTTTTTAATGCTGTCTCCAGAGATGTGTTTTGCACACCTTCAGTGTGTGGGGGGTGTCTCCTAAAATAAAGGAGCTTTAAGGGTATTTTGAGTTTCACTTCAGCGCTGAGGGCTCCTGCCCTCACCACGAGCAACATCCCTACCCCTTCCTCACATTTTCTACAGTAAACACGGTACCTTTTTAGCTCCAAAACACTCATTTCTCCTTTCACTCATTCTCTGGAGCCACTCAAGAGCTTTGGGATGAGAGGAGCGAGCTGGGACAGAGCTGAGGAAGCCAATGCTGCCCTCTAAGGTTTTGTGCCTGCACACAGGCTCTGCACAGCTCAACACGAGCATAAACCATCTCCCATTTTATACGAAACTGGAGTATGGATCATTCTTCCTGCACAATTTCCCTCCTTTTCTGCAGCTTCTGAAAGTTGTGAAAGCCGGCAGGTGAACGTGCACCCCAGCAGCCAGATCACAACCCCAGGAAGGGTTCAGACTTGTTAAATTAATCTCGAAGTTTTGCTTTGTAACCCACAGTGTGCCCCACACACACAACTCCACTCACACAGTTCAGCTGGCACATCTTTGCAATTTTTATTGCACTCAGCATCCAAAAACCAGAGGTTTGCTTTGGTAACAGAAGTGGGTGCTCTGCTGAGAGTCCGGAGAGGGAAAGAAGAAAACTCTCCTGTAGTTTCAACAGACTCCAACAAAACAGGAATCCGAGAGCACTGCAGATGTGGATACCACAGATGACGTGACTTCTGCTGCTGTTCAGGCACTGCAGATGAGGCAAAAAGGCAAAAAATAAACCAAAAAGCAGCCCTCCACAAAGGAACGAGGTACACCAGAAACTGAGGAGCACAGTCAGAAAAGCCCTCCTATACATTTTAAGACCAAGACATGCTCACGGACAGCAGACAAAACCTGGTTAAACACTTAAAACTTCCAGTTCAACTGAACTCCTTACCTGCAGGAGCAAGATTTGGTAAAAATAATTTGGGGAAAGATGATGGTGGAAGATAAAGATGCAGGGAGAGCAGCTTCCTATGCTGTCCTGCCGCGTACTCACCTTGAAGAGGCTGACGGTGACCCTGCCAGCCCAGCAGCAGTCACAGCACACCCCTGAGCTCTGCCCACTTGTGACCCTCCGAGACATGAGCTAGCAGCTAGTAACAAACAGTAATCCTCCTCAAATACCAAGGGAATGTGCAGTACTTGCTGTCCTATGACCGCACAGTTAGCTCCACCAAGGAGTAAACATGAGCTATGAATCATGACGTTTCTCTTGGTTTTTGCCTCCCTTCCTCCTGCAAGCAGAGCCATGACTTGTTTACAAAACAAATTTTCTGCAGAAAAGCGAGTAGCCCGAGGAACGCTGCATAAGGATTCTCTAGAAAAAAATCCACACTGTAAGGGCAGGCAGGCAGAAATTTCAACAGCTAAAAGAAAAAAATCTACAACAGACAAAATGAAAGTTTGAACGTCTTTGGATACAAAATGTGGAGATAAAAAGCTATGCTGGCAAAAATAAAAGAGAATTTGACTGGTCTAACAAGACTTACGAGCCCAGCACACTGAGTTTGTTTTAATCATACTACACCTGGAAATGAAAACATTTTGAACCATGTTTTTGGCTACGGGTATCAGAGGCCATGAGCTAAAGGTCAGCCTCTCTCTCTTTGCTACTGAAGATGTGTCGCTGCTGCCGGCCTGCCCGTTTAGCCTGGATGTGGGCGAGGTTAGGTTTTGTGGGTCCCTTCACATCTACAGAAGCTTCCTGTCTGCTGGCCACAGGACAACTCCCTTCACAGCTCTCCAGGCTCAAAGCAACAATAATCCTCTCAACAGTTTTGGCTCAGGAAGACAAAAAAGCAATTCATTAAGATCAAATATCTTATTTGTAGTGTACAACTTCAAATTCTTACTGTCTTTTCAAACTTGCAGAACCTACCCACCTTTCAAATCAAAATATGGCTGGGCAAGACAGAGGTGACATATTTACCCAAACCACCTCGCTATGCCTGCTGTCTTCAACTCATCACACCGGTGAAGTGACTTGCACTTTCTCCCCATTAAATTATGACTTGCCATTCTTTTCACTACTGTAAAAGTGACTGTTCTGAGGAAAAAGAATTCCAGGAAGCAGCATTGCTAACAGGCTAAGGTTGACATAAAATAGATTTTACCGAAGACATTTTTCTCTTTAAGAATAGTACTGTGAATTCAAGGTTCGTCCATGCTCTCTCTACCTCTGAAACAGTACTCAGTCTCCCCTCTACAGCGGTTGCTCACACCTACCACTGGCACTCAGAGCAGCACTGAACGTGCTGCTTCACTTGCCAGACACTATGTCCCACCATAAAGCCTAAGAGCTGCTTTGTATTACTTTTTATTTCCACCAAGCTCATTACAGGAACCAAAGGAACTTCTTCACCAACATTAAAGCCTGTTCTCCTACACCACCAGTACTTAAAGTAGGGCTCCTTTCTTTTTATTCTTCAAATGCTCTTGATAAACAGTAGCAGAGCATATTGAGAAGCACTATCTCAGATCTTGGCAGTTCAGTCAAAAAAGGCAATATTCCCGTGCCGATTTAGAAACTTCAAAGAACACACGGAATTTTTTCAAAGCAACATTCCTTACTTTCAAAAAATCTATTTTGTCTCTGCCCCGGCTGATGAGGTGTCTCCTGCTATCTATTGTGTGTGTAAGTGCACATGTGCTTTCTTCAAGCTTCGCGCTTGATCCAAGTCCAAAAAGCTGAGTGAAGCTGAAACACCGCAAGCCATAAATCAAGGGCCAAGTCCCACAGTCCTTACACTTCAGTCCAAATTCACAATCCTATAGTGGAAAAGCATCACAGATTCAAGCTGTACATTCTACGGTACTCGGTGACCTTACCGAAGAGGAATTTAAGATGAAAAAATCCTACCCTGGAGAAAGGTCGATTTATGAAGAGAGAAGCAGGCAGGGCTCCCAGTGATCACTGCTACTTAGAAGCTTGTGCCCAGGACTCTTGATCCTTTGGCTATACTAATTTCATTTGGAGACTAACAACTATCACGTTCCTGGCTTGGACTAAAGCTCTGGAGGAGCCCAAAGGCTCCAGAGTATGGCAAAGGTGATGAGGTTCCAGATGTCCAAGTAACAACACTCAACAGAAACCTCATGCCTGCTCATGCTGCATTTTATAATGTCACTAGACTTCACCAGATCGGACAAATTGGCTCTGTGGCATCATGAGTCCACTCCTATTACTTTCTCTTTTTTTCTTTTCTCTGAAGGTCTCAACAGCTAGCAAACAAGCTGATCTCAAAATTAAGCAAGAAGCAAGCATGGATGCAGGAATTCCATTCTCCCTTCGTGTATTAATCACTTCTGAGACAGCTCAGTGCAACAACACAAGCAGTTCTAGTTAGATTAAAACTTATCACTGCATTCTTGCATGGGAAGAAAAAGAGGAATCTCATGTTTGATACAGTGTTGGCTGACACACTTCACTTTGGAAAGGATTCTGGGATTCTGTTCCCTTACTTTATTTAAATTTAAATAGAAAAAAAAGCTCCACGTTCCTGAGTTGAGAACTATTAAGCTTTCCCCGACAGCAAGGTAAAATAAGGCTCCTCCAAGCATAACCAAGTAAAAAGTTGCTATGAAAATAAAAATAATATAAGCACATCAAGAGATCTCAAATCAAATCTGACACTGCTGTGTGAAGAAAAGGTTCTCACCTTCATCTAACTCCAAAATTATAAAAACAAGTCTTTACTTTTTGTTAAGTTCAAACAACTCTTCTCACACACAAGTTGACGCAGAATTACTGAATAACCATTTGCTCTGCAACTGAAGAAACGGGAAATTCACGTGTGCTTAGAGATCTCTGCAGAAACGGATTTTAAGATAACAATAGGTGCTTCGAAGTCTGCTTGAGGGGAGTTCTGTCTTCAGTTTTATTTGCTTTTCTCACCAGAGCACTCCGAACACATTCAGTCATATGTTTAGAGCTGCCATGGTCTTCACCAAGGTGACGTGGTTGGTTGAGTCTGTCTCTCCCCTGCTGCTATCTGCACAGTTACTCTTGTTGGCCAAGACCTTTTGTCGGTGCCTCTCTTCCTGTCGCTTCTTCTTCTCTAGCCGCTGCTGTTCCTTCTTCTGTTTTTTAGATACCTGAAAGGAGGATAAAACCACAAAGTTGAAAACATACGTTTTCTGCTCAGTCGGAGAGAATATAAAACAGTGGAAAGGAGACAAGCAGATTTCAAAGCAGTTGCCAAGGACTGTTTATTCCAAATTACTTATCTGGACTTTATTTTGTGTCATTTTTGTAAGAGTGCCACATGTCGCTATTAAATGTTTGTCTGAGAAGTCACAGCTGTAGCAGCAACAAAATCCAGCATGCAGAAGCTCTTTTTATTTCAAAGGATAAGATAATTGCTGATTAAGCAATCCTAACCATTCCTCTAATTGTTAAAGGGCATGCAAATCACTGCCAAACCATCCTTTACATACCTTTGGGTTTCTGCTAGCTCGATTCTCTTCATCAGATCCAGCCTGTTCTTTGTTGTTTCTTATTTCACCTTGATGCAAGCTTCGATTTCCAAAGATTCTTGAATCACTTCCGTTTTCTTCCCGCAGAGTTCTGCTACACAATTTCTCATCTTTGCTCCGGGGATCATGCTGCTCCTCAGTACCTACCAACAAAAGAAGTTTTTCTCAGACACACCCTACCCAGAAGCTGTCTCACTGTCAGCCAGTTCCTTCTTCCAGAATTTCCAGAACAGGGTTTCTTTGGAAGCTGGTTTAAATCTGCCTTCATTAACAACCTTCCTGAGCACAGAAAGGCTGAAGTGGCAGCACAGCCAACAGCAACTATCCCTGTTGAACTGCTGTTCACAGTGAACATTCATGTCAGACAGTGTCCTTCTGAAACACCAGGTGACAAACTCCATGTACTTACTGATTCTTTCCACTTCATTCACTTGAAAGATGGCAAATAGTGCAGATTCTGTATTGCAGTCTTCCACTTCCAGAATCTGGCTTACTAAATCAATGTCCTGTCCGTAAAAGGAGAAAGATAAAGCTGAAGAGAGTTCAAATCACTGACATACATTAATTTAACAACCAACTGCAGCACTGAGAGGAGGTGGTTGTCTGCTTTTATGACCTTTCAGTTAGCCTGTATTCCATTTCTGAAAGAGGTGAGGGAGAAAATCTTAAAATCCTGAAGATATCAGGAAAAAGGAATATTCAGTTTCAGCATAACCATTTCACTCTCGGCCCTTTCTGTTCTATGCATTTGCACTGGGCAAGCAGCCGTCTGCAGTAACCACACAGGCTATCCAGGGCCAACAGCCAAGATTCACAGATTGCCTAATCATTTGGGGTGCTTAACTACAGACATCCTCAAAGGATTTTAAATCTTACAGAATTTGTTTGAAAGTGAGTTTTCTGAAAGACTGCAAGACAAACCTTCCAAAATTATAAGGTATCCACACAGAGTATGCATTTCATCTGCTTTTAAGAGTTAAGTCTAGGATGAAATGCATCTTGATTTATGGCTGTGGTACTGAAATTGTCCAAGATGAGTATTTTTTAGAATTTTTCCCAAGGCCACTTTCATGTATCAAGAAGGTTTGAACATTAAGCACAAAAAGGCCACTCAACACTTACTGAACATCCAGTTGCATTACACACTTTTTGTACAGCATCTTCCATTTCAGCTTCAATCTCATCTTCAGAGTCACCCTTCTGTGGCTGCACTTCCTTCTCCTTATTGGAATCATTTTTGAAAAGCATCTGCAAGAAAAGCAAAGCCCAGCAGATCACACAAGCATGCAGCCATTTCATCACATAGAGTAAAAAAACCTGACATCGTCATAAATTTAATTATGGCGGCACACTTTTCTCAGAAATATCCTGTGTCAAAGCATGTTGGAAACTGTGTTACTTTCATCATCACTGACATCGTTTCCTACGACTCATACACAAACTCTCAAATGCTACGAGATCATGCACAGCCATAAACAATCACTAGCTTTTGAAGTGAGGTATTAATTTTTTTACAATGCCACACATTACACAGTTGTGTGCAGAGAACTTCAAGGACAGCACAGCTCACTCCCTAACACAAAAAAAGTGAGAGATGAAGAAGACTATTGTATCCAGCTGTTGCATTTCCATCTTTTTCCTCCCTTCACTTTGCTTTTGCATTCAAGGTGCACCAGCATGCGATTTAGATGGGGTTGCTTTGAGACCTCTACAGCCCAGATCACAGCATCAGATTCAGGATTGATTTCCAGCCCAGTAATTTAAACACTTTACAGCCTGTCTCAAGAGAGCAGGCAGCACTAGTTACAATGACCTTAGGGGCTCTTCTGGGCCCTTCCCAGCATGACACAGGGACCAAACTTTTTTCTCCGTCTCAGTGCAGATGAGAAAGGAAATAAACTGGTAACATTCACCAGTTTCATTTATCACCCACAGCTGACCCAGGTCATCCTGCCATAACCAACCTCCATCTGAAGATATGCTGGAGTTTCAGAATCGTCATTGATTCTCCTCACACTGTCGTAGTGCTCTCCGTAACGATACGCAATATGAAGTTCCCTCACGTTGTTTTTGTCTGTGCCCCGAATCTAATTGAAACAAATAAACTGCAAATGAGGATTTGGAATCAAATTCAGCATCTTATTTTTCAAAGTATTAGTTTTTTGAAGCAATGATAAACATCATGATCAGAAGCAAAGTACACAGCTACTGAAGCATCTTTAAACAGGAAGCATCGACCTAATAATCCAGATGTGCCTACAGTAACAATGGAGCTTCTATCTCAAGGATAATGTTTGAAAACCAGATACTAGTGGGTCAGTTACATCATAACAAACAAAACACAGTACGAAAATATTTCAGTGGAAAGCTCAAAACTATTTTCTAAACTTTCCACAGGAGCTATTAGTTTTCTGATCATCTTCCCAGACACAACTTCAGTGACAGCTCCCGTTCAGGGTACAATGTCTTCTTCGCCTCTAACATGAGGAAAAGAGTCCATTCAAGTTATGACCACAGTGAAAACAGTCACCCAGAGTAAGTTTTGTTCTGCGGTTGGGACAAGATGCTATTTTAGCAGTTAGCATATGAAGTGGCTACGTTTTGTTTTTAGAAGACAGACAAATAGAAATAAAGCCAAACTATGAAAACATATTAACTCCATGCAGGAGCACTGTTAACAGCCAAGCGTTCCTTTGCTTTGTCAGCACCAAGTACAGCAGTTTCCGTAGAAAATTCTTGTCCTGAGTATTATTTGTACTGATGCAAGAATAATTTCTACCCCAATCATCAACACCTCAAATTATCAGCTAAAAGCTACACAGCATTCCAACTCTTGCAAAGAATGCAGAAAATTACACTCGTTTGCAGATCTCCTTTGCTTACCTGTCAAGCCAGAGTTCAAAGATCTGACAGCTTTCCAGGAGAAGATGTTAGTAAGTAAACAACAAGAAATGCCTGCTCAAGGGCTCCAGAATTTCCCAATCCTTTTACGTCTTTGAATCAGCTTATCCCAACTTACAGAATATACACCAAGTCACCTTTCAACCCCATCTGCGGTTTGTGTTGCACTAACAACTTCAGATTTCACAACAGATGTTCTCCATTCATCTATTTTACACTTGTTCACCTTTAAGTTCCAACACAACACTTGGTCATACTTAACTCCTGCTTTTTATCCTATTAAGTTATTCAACATGTTGCAACCCAGTAAGATTTATTTTCAACATTTCTCCTCTGCCAGAGACTAAATAGGTATCTAATAAATCCCAAAGCTCTTAAAAGATTATTCTGAAAATTAGTCAATTTAGCTCTCAGTAGTGAAGCCTCTTTTTGAGTGCTCTTTCCACAGTATACTGGAACTGTAAGTAAAAACCAGCTGCAGATAAAAAAAAAAAAGGGCAAACACTGAAAAAGGTAAGCAGTTATCCAAAAAGCCAATAATATAACCTAAACATCTGAGCTAACTTGAAGCTCTACATTTACAGTCACTATCAAAAATGTAAGGGGTGTTAAAAGCCCTAAAAAGTCCATGCAGATGCCCACCTCCAAGGAGCTTTTGATAAGGCAAGAGCTTGAGAAACAGCTGGAGGTCCTTAACACTTCTGCTCACATTTTTTCAGCTTAGTTGCCATGCATACAAATGGTTCTCTTAAAATTAAAGGATAACTCACCAACTGCTTTAGAGTCATGACCAAAGGAGATATTCATACCACCTGCTTTAAGCATCTTGCTGATCTAATCTTTCTAAAATTTTGCTGGAGCTCCAAAGCAGGGAGAGGGAGGAAAAAAAAGTATAAAAAAATTAAGAAAAAATGGTATCCTGGGTTAGTTGAATTTAGTAACTTGCTAACATTATCACCATGTTGTGATGCCCTACATACTTTGATGTTCTGACATATCCTCTGTGCAGGTAGGAGGCTCCTTTTATCACAACTATTAACAGTTCTCTTTACTTAGGCCATTCTCAGGAGCCTAAGACAACCCTTTACTAACAAGACTATACTCAAGCAAAACAGAACCTCATCACAAACTCTGTATTTACAACCCTGGCAAGGTCAATGAATGGGGAAAGAGAGCTCGGATATAGAAAATATCAAGAAGAGTTAAGTATACTGAGGTGAGTATCCGGTTCAAAACAGTAACGAAACATGGACAGCACCCCCACGAACTCTCCTGCAGGGTCACCACCTCCGCACGCTCTCGCAGGTCAAGCAGGTGAGCATTTTGGTTAGCTGTCTCACTGCCCTTGGCTGCCACAGAAATAAGAATTTAAACTTGTTTGGGTTCAGGAATCCACCTGACACTGTTTTAAATGTAATTAAGACACCACTGACAGCAGCTTTCATCTGATCTTTTATCTTTATTGCCCTATTTAATCTATGTATTTCACTGGTTCTATCTGTACATTGGGGCAAGAAACTATCCTGACTTGAATACAGGTTCTCACTTGCTCAGTGAACAGGCAGAGATTGAGCGTGGACCCATTCCAGTGTGGACTTGCCACAGAAAAACAACAAAAAAAAGAGAGTAGGAGAGACATGATGGATTACTTGTTCCAGTGCACCACTGTCAGAGGAAACCATAAATACAGTCCCTTCCAGAAGCTGATTAAACACTGCCTTCAGGTTTTAAAACTTCTTCCCTCTTCTGCCCAGTCCAGGACCTCATTTCTCCAACTATCCAAAACCTTCTCATTTCAAGTCCCATGCAGAACTGATGGAGCTTCATTCCAACACACTGCTGCATCTGTCCTGCTATACCTTCTCTTCCACGTTCCTGAACCTTATTGTACAGGTTTCCTTAAGCCTGGCTCAAATTCCTATCAGAAAAGTCACCCCATATGTAGCCTGATCTTCAGGAGACAGAAGCAGACCAATCAAGTTATGAGCTTAAACCCAAACTAAAACACGAACACGCTGCTCTGCCTCCACATCCTGATCTTTCATGCACTTCATTCCCTCTCTTCCTAGCTGCAATATGGGATGTTTTCCCCCAAGGAAGAAAAAGCAAGCACAGCTCTACACCATGCCCAGCTAACTATGGCTACTGACTGCTCTCTTTTAATAGATCAGGAAGTTTCAAAAACATTTGCATTCATCAGCTAAAAATTAGGCCAAAATATAGAAGTTTTGTTTCTCACCTGCCACAGCGGAGCATTAAGTTGATGAATAACCACGTTCATTTGATTGTTCCTTGCAAAAGCCACAATAGCATCGTTGCCAGCAAAGGTACCAGGCTTCGCCAGATTGGTAACTAAAGGAAAAAACATTCAGAAGAGTTGGAAACTTGGTTTCTGACACTTCCAAAAGCATTGGAGGGATAATGAGTAAATTTCAACATGAGCCCAAAAAATTCTGGAAAGGAAATACCAACTGTGAAACAGTGACTGATGAGGCAAGAATCTGGCAGCAACAGAAGTTAATATGTCTTAAACGGCCACAGAAGCCTCTAAAAAAATGCAGTACACCCTTAGATTACGCAAGGCCATAGGCTTTGTGTTAGCTCAGAAGGAAGAGTGCCATGTGCAAAATGACCAAACTGCTTTCATGCATCACCTGCATGGTACTTGGCACATCCTCAAAGCTGCTAGAACAAAGGCTGTATCAGTCTCTGCTCTGGATCTTCTTCTGGGTTACTGCTACAAAACATCAAGCATCAAGGAGAAAATGAAGCCCAAAGAATCAGCCACTCAACACCCACCACTATTCACAGAGAGCGAGACAATTTTTGTAAGCTCCTTTTGAAAACTCCAAATTTTAACTCCTTGCCTTTTTTGTGCCTCTCTTTCCTTCTCCAAGTTTCTCCTAAACAATTTTCCAGACATATACTAGAAGTTTAATAGCTTATCTTTCTACAGAGAGAAATATAAACTCACTGTTTCTAAAAACTAGACAGGAGCCCTAACACAGTTCTGGGGTGAAGAACTGGAAAGGTGCTCAAATGGGATATAATCACATTTGCACAATAACCCCTCCCATCAGTGTCATATGGAGACCATACCGTGTTTCTCAAAGGGCACATCATCCTCCACAAAAGGCTCGAAATCCTCACGCTGCTTTACCATGTAATCCACCGTTTCCTGGCGATGTCTGAGGTGGTTTCGTGAGTGCCCTTCAAGCTGGTCTCCCAAGGCCCGAAACAAACAATTGCTACCGAGAGAGAAACCACCAGTCAGTGTATCTGAAAGGCTGCTAACAGATAAACCACTAAATGAATGATCCTGGTGTAGCAGCAGAAAGAATATGGTGTTAAAGGGAAAGAAAAAGAGCTGCACTCTTTCTGCCCAAGACATTCAACAGACATGAATGTGAAGTAGCACCTATTCTCTGTGCTTTGGATGGCTGCTGCTGTTAGAAAAAATGCTGGTAAGAACATAAGGTTTTCAGTGAACATGTCATCAGCTCCAGCAGAGTAAGAAGTCAAGGGTGGTAAGAGTGCTGGGCCAAACTGTCTTAAACTGACACCAAGACAAATGACACAAAGCAGCAAAGGTCAACCCAATGATATACCAAGCGATTTCTCAGCAGTCACGTCTAATCCCCCTTTCACCCAGTACTTACGGACCTTCCTACACTCTGCTCAGCAGGCCAGGGGAGCCCTCAGCCCCCCTCAACCCCCCCAGGGCTCAGGCCTGGGACAGCAGGGCCCTCCGGCCAGCAGGTGACAGGCCAAAGGAGCCCTCAGCCCCCGGGGACACAGGCCCCGCGCAACCAGAGAGCAGAGCCCCTCGATCTCTGAGGGGTACAGGGGGGAAGCCCTCACCCCTGCGGAGCATCGGGCCCACTCAACCCCCCAGGGGAAAGCCCTCAGCAGGCCTGGGGGGGGGGGGGGGGAAGCGGGGGGGGAGGGGGGACACGACCCGTCGCGGCGCTCACCCATCGCCCGGCACCTCCCGCAGCTTGAGGCCGAGGGCCCGGAGCTGCCCGGCTAGGCCCCCCGCGCCCGCGCCAGGGCCCGGAGCCGGCCCGGCGGGAGGAGGCTGCTGGGGCCGCCGAACCTTCCTGGCTCCAGCAGCAGCCCGGGCCTTGGCCGCCTGTTTGCGGGACATCCCCGCCGGGCGCCCACCGCGCCTGCGCCACCATCGAGAGCGGCGCAGGAGCGGCCAGAGCGCCGCCGCTCTACCCGCTCCCCCTCCCCTCCCCGGGGCGGATTCCTCCAGGAGGAAGAGGAGGAGGAGGGAGAGGGAGGTGCCGGGAGGGAAACTGAGGCTGCAGAGCGCTCTGAGATGAAAGGCAGTGGGAACTGCGAAGGGAAGAAAGGTGCAGCCAAGCAGCTGGGGAGGGTGCAAAGAGCAGCCCCATAAATCACGACTATTAGACCCAAATGCTTCGCCTGAGGCTGCCAGATCCCCCCTCCTCATTAACCCCGGCTGCTAATTGCCTTCCTCCGGCCAGGAGCCTGTCCTCAGCGGCAGGGCCGCAGCCCCCGTGCCCCCCTCCCTGCTGCCCCAGAACACCTTCCACTCGCTGCCGTGACCTCCCACGCGTGGGTGCTGCGCCCGGTTATAAACCATCGCGGGTCACCCCAGCCGCTGCCTGGTCGACACCGAATCGAACCGAAAAGGAGAGGAAGAGGGGAGAAGATCGACCACCCACGAGGTGGCACCACGAGAACGTCGCTGGCAGCAGCGACCGGCACCAATTAATTAAATGTCACCCGTGTAACAGGCCGAAGCTTCTCCCCCGTCCCCCAGCAGCCCCGAACGGCTGAGCCGGGCAGCAGAAAGCGGCACCGCAAGACGACGGTGACTCTTCCAGAGTCCGGCTCTCGGGAGGGATTTCCTGCTCTCCCAGTCTTCCCACAGCAACCAGTTAAAGAGGTCACCCACTGTGAACAGCCTCCTCCGCTGCCCCCATTTATTCTGTCCCTTTACTGGGTTTTTCCTCGCGCTGCTCTGCTCAGAGGGTACTGCGATAGGATCTGCCCAATGCTGTCAGAACTGCTGTGCATCGGTCAAATTTATGTCTAATTTATAGCTCAGAAGGTGCATCCAAACAGCTTTGTGATGAACACTAAGAAAACACTGCAAATTTGGGAACAGACACCGAGATAACGAGAGAATCAACTCCCTTGGCATGAATATTACAGCGTCACAGAATGTTACAGTGTCACAGAAGCACATCACAGACTAATAAGGCGAGACAAAAATCGCCAGGTAGGATTCTGCTGTGAGGCGTTTCAGGTCCCATTTATCAAGTCAAATAAACATTTGTTAGTACCTGCAATGAGGCTGCATCTGAGCACGATCTGCTGTAGCTTTATCACTGCAAGAGCAACCTCCTTTTCGACCTCAGTGTAAAAAATTCCTTGCTGCAGCAGACAATGCATTGTAAAAATGAAGGCAACTGCCCGCTGACAGCAGCCTCTGCTTTGCTCGTACGTACACTGGGTAACAGTGGATACAGTAAGAGGCTTCACATCAAGACAATTTTTAAGTCACTTTTTTTTTTTAAGTTCCTCTTGTCTGGAGTCACAACAATCTGAAACGCAGCTTGAGCACAGGAAGAAGCTCGTGGGACTATCAACAGTATCTTCTCGGATGTTTTGAATATTACTGTGCTCAAAGCCCAGCGGCAAGTGAGGATTTTACTCTGAAATGACACAACCACTCCTTTATATCCATTTCCTGTCATAAACAAGTCCATCAGGAGCATTCTATAGAAACACATTTTCTTATGCAAACATACTAAAAGCAGGAAAACAGGATTAGTATATAAACTGATTGCAAATGATTAATGAAACAGTAATTAGCTAAGTAGCATTAAAGAGCTAATGGCAATTCAGTGAAGTACAACCTGAATGCAAGACAGTGAACTCATGACACAAAGGACAAAACTGAGTGAAAATCAGGGCAAGTCCCTTGACATTTGGCAGAAAATTTCATCAATGGAGAACAATAATGCACAGACATTTTTAACCCAATGCAACTGATGAAACCTGAGCAGAGAGACTGCACTGCCTGAACCACACTGCTGAAACAAGCGCAGGAATTGCCTGGCTGCAGCCTCCTGAGCCCCCACACGAGATCACGCTTCCTCCCGTGGGGTCCCTGATCCACGTGGCAGTAAACCACAGCCAGTGGAAGCACCAGGACCTCTCCAAAGCATGACACACTCCATTTCCACTTCCCTCCAGCAAATTCTCCTCCCTGCTGACGTGCATCTGTAGCAAAACCACCATGCCTCTCCACCAGCTCTGAGTTTCCAGCATGTGCAGTGGGAAGGCAGGGAAAAGTCACTGCCACCCGTTGCCAGAAGACAGAGCAAACAGACATGGAGGCATGGATTCATCCCACCTGGTTTTTAACTGAATTATTTAAGTTAGGAGTGCAGTTGCCCCTGTTGGTGTCTGTTCCAGCTTCCCAACATCTGCAAGCCACTTTCATACTGTTCTAATGATGAAGAATCTGTAGATTTTAACACATTTCCATTTCAGACACGGGAACTGACAAACTAAATTTGAAATTTCTAAGGCATTGTAAAAATGGCAGGTCTGCCTTCTGTTTTCCCAGATCTTTTATTTTTAACAGTGTTAACTTACTAATTAAAGAGGTAGGTGAAATGCAGTAGAAAATTCTCATATTTTCAAACATAAATGAGCCTTGAGGTTCACCAACCCACTTCTAGGCATTCTTGCACTTCAACTATGAGTCATACTTCTGCAACTGAAAGATGTTCAGGCTCCTACAATTTGGGGTCACCCAAAACTCCACCAAACACTGCTACATGCCCCATCAGCAGAAATACAGCAGGAACACCCAGACGCTTTTGTGAAGTTTGCTTACAACAAACCTTCTACTATTTCTCAGCAAAGAAGAACAAGCACTTCTCAGCTCATCCCCCCCATCAGCAAGTTCATGAGATTAGAGTCTTCCTGAACTCCTTGCCCTCCTAAATTGCAGTTATTTCTTTCCGCTGCTCCTCTGCTGGAGGGAGGGGCTGGTACATGGTAGCACAGACAGCTTGAACATTCGGGTGCACTTGAGGCTACCAACTTGGCACTGTGAGTCTTCTACCAGTAATGCTGACCTAGTCCAGCTTTCTGGGATTAGTAACCCTTCCTTCCTTCCACAGGATTTGTACTGAGAAACCATCTGTGTTTTATCCCTCAAATAAAAAGGTAGAAGGAAATTAAAGACAAAGGGTTTTTGTTCAGGCTTTTTAAAAATTTTTTCAGACGAGATGAATATTCACAAACCACCTAATGGAAGGGCATTCCTGAGTGCATGAGGTTGGCCTGTGAGTGCCAAGAAAAAGAAGATGGTCCTACCATGACTAACCTTGCTTTCCATTTCCAGATCTCTCTCACGGACTCTGGGAGACCCTGGGTGACCCCACCGCATGCTTCTGTTCGCACCTGAAGCTCTCTGGTGACTGAAACCAACGGGGGTGCTCCTACAGTAAAGGAGTTGATAATAATCAGACATTCAACACTCAACATTAATCATCTCAATCTCATTCTTTACTTTGTGCTATAGGGTAACAGCTCTAGGGTAGTGAGTATTGCTAAAGCAAGAACAGACTTCCTACGCAGAGCATTCAAAATTGGTGATACTTATACCCTCCCTAATCAAAGCAAGGCATTCAGTACACCAATGTTAATATTAGATTCATCCAAATCTGTCACTGTCCAGCACAGTGGTGTTTAGAGACCAATGAAATTGCTTTCACCAAATAAAGTACTAATTTAGTAATAATGGTAGTGTCTGGCTATCACAGTGAACAAAACTGCAGCCTGCTAATGCCATGGGGTCTGCTTCCGGACGGGAATTGCTCAGTGAGATTATCAACTGTTGTAAAATGTCTTGGCCACAAAGTTAATAATTAACTCAGGTCCCCATCTCATAAAAGCATCGTATTGTAAGAGCACAACACACTTAAAGCTGTCACTAATCAATCATGCATACAACAGGAATAAAGCTGCACATAAAAGGAGCCAGAAACTCAGAAAATCCTTCAGCTAAGGGAAGACGAACTGCACCAAGGTTTATCTCCATGGAGAAATCCACTGACAGGCTAAACGATGAGAATGGATCGACAGCTCCTGGCGTATCACAGGCTGGGAAGGACAGTCCTGCGCCCACTGCAGAAGGTACTGCAGAAATGAGCAGAGCAGGACCCCTAACAGAAAACACTGCAGACGTGAAGAGGCTGGGATTCTCTGAAGAATGTATTAAAGAAATGGAAAGACCTTCAGTCACAGAGCGAGACAGTCCTGATGCCTTTAAACCAGAGATTTCTGAAAGAGACTATCCAAACTCAAAGCCTGTTGTTACGCCAACAAACTCAAGCTCTCCCGAAGTATGCACTTCTGAAATGAAGCACCAGTATTCAACCATAACATCTGTTGACATGGATTGCCTAGTCTGCTTCAACAAGTACAACATCTACAGAATACCAAAGGTCCTGGACTGCCAGCATGCCTTCTGCGCGGTCTGTCTCAAGCTCATCCTCAGGAAAGAAGAGAGTACCTGGATAATCACCTGCCCCCTGTGCAGAAAAGCTACTTTTGTGTCAGGAGGGCTCATCCGCACGCTTCAAAATAAAGAAGACATCATGGAGCATTTGGAAAACCTCGATTCAAATCCTGAGGTACATGTCTCTGCCACGGGGCTGGAGAGCAATAGCTGGACTCAGACCAGCCAAGACACTTTATACAGAGATGAAAATGTTCCAGCAGACAACAGACTGGCTCTCCAGAGACTTGTGCTGCTCCTGCTGCTTGTGGTGATTCTCACCATCCTCATCCTCCCCTTTATATACTCTGGGCTGATTAAATGGGTAATTTGTCTCATGCTTACTTTGGGGTTGGTCATGTCAATGGTGCTTTGCTGCACTCCTAAATTGTACTGGAGGTGTAATAGGGACTCGCTGCCCTCTTGCCGCAAGGAGAGCCACATCGCTGCTATTGCCTGAAACAATTAACGTGTTGCCTGGAGATAATGGACTGGTCCTGCCTGCAGAGCTGCACGTTAGGCATGTAGTCAGTTGCTGGACTTTGAAAACAATCATTTGTGTAATAAATTCAATAGGTGGCTGAGTTGGCTCAATGACAATGCACAGTATTGTTAAATTTCACTAGTGGAAACATAGTCTAATATTTATATGTTGATATTTACATGATAAAAACTGTAGGTTTTGCACACAATTTTTATCCCAGACTAATAATTTTGTTGTTTACCTTTTGTCATTTTGTTTTTGTTTGTGTCATCTCCTGACGAGCACTGCAGAACATTATCTGAAACATCAGAGAGATGATGTCCTGTGAAAATCTCTATCTGTGGTTGCATTTTCCCACACCCTTAACAGGCGTACACTTTTTCTTGTGACAATGTGGGGAAATAAGACTGCTAAATGAGGGACTGGGTGCCCAGCCTCAATGGAAGAGAGTAGTTTTAACCCAGGTTATCACTTTTCACCGGGTGATCACTGCTCAAAGGGTTGTTGGCAGGGCTGGGAAGGTAGGACTGGGAAAAGGGGATGTCATTTGTTGCCATCCGATGCACACCACACGGGCAGGGGAGAGGCAATATCAATGCTCCTAATCTTGAGCCCGTGGCTTGCAAACAGCAAGGCTCTCAAAAGCTCATGATGCTTCAAATTCCCCGTGTTATTTAGCACAGAAATAGTTCCTCACATCTCGACTCACTTATGTGGCTACCTGCGCCGCTTCTCTTCTTGCCCTCTGTACGTGAAGTATGACCTTGCCCTTGGAGATGCCCACAATTCTCCTTCTAAACAGACATCTGTCAATTGCTATGCCATACCACATGTGATATTTTTATATGGAATGCATCCATTAAAGTTTAATAATATTAATTGCTCATTGACTTCTGTGTTTCAATTCCTCACTGACAATTAATGTCAAAACATTTCACAGTTTTCTCACTGACAGGAACTACAGCTGAGAAAGAATATTAAAGAACCTGTACAACCAAGTTGGTGAGTAAATCGAAGTAGTAATGTGTTAGGTATTTTCCTTGATTTAAAAAAAATACTTAGTTGCTAATAAGGTAACCTTTAACCCAAATAAAATTAAATCGGAAAAAAAATTAGAAGTTTGATCTTTGTTAAGTTACATTTTCAAGAGTAGCATGGATCTCAGGGGACCTTGGATCGCCTGTGGTAAATATTTGTGTTTGATAAGAATGGAAACTGATGTACTCCAGTTGCTCAGTATATAGTGTCTTACCAGCAGATAAAACAGATTAGACTAAGAGGGTAAGGAGCTGTTGTCCTCCTAGACTCTTGGAAAAAACAGGTCTGTTTTCTGCCTAAGAACACAAACCTTAAAGGGAAAGAAATGCTTTGTTTCTTCTCATATATTTGGACAGCAACTGCCTTATTGCAGAGTACATATGTAGTAACATTTGCTAATAACCAACCAAAAAAAATCTTTTCCCAGTTGGGAAAAGGCAAGTAGTTTTAAACACAAATATTTTATTTAACTGTGTTATTCCAGATACGAAGACTGGACCAGATATTCACCTGTACTGAAAATAATTTCAGAAACTCTTGCCAAGTCTTTCAGCTCATAGACAATTTACCTGTCAAGTTCCCTTCACCAGCACTAGTGGGTGACTGGTACTTGTAAAGGTTTGTAACAAACACATTAATATTGGCCTGAACGTAGCATGCATGAAAAACATCAGAGTAAGCTAGAAGGGTTAAAGGAAAATCATGTGCTAGTTGCTACAGAACACTGATCTCATTCAAGTGACTAGATAGTAAGGAAGAAACAGACTGTCCTAAAGAGAAGATGACAAAGATGAGCTGGACCAGAGCCATAAAATAATCCAAATTAAAAAAAAAAAAAAAGGATAAAAGTTGGGGAATTTTGCCTAAGAAGGGAAGAGACCGATCAAGATACCAAACACCACCAACTCCAGACACGTGTATCAGTTGCACCTAGTATCAGTTTGCCATCATCAGTCAAAAAACATAATGAAGATTTTAGAAGCAGTGTTCCTTGTTATTCCTATCACACACAGTGGAGCCTGGCCAGTCCACGTGGACTTGTCAGCACACGATGTGAACAAATGAAACCAGAGAATAAATGTGAACAGAAAAAATCTGTTTGTTATGCATCACCCTGCCCTTCCAAAAGGGTGCGTTCAATTTTATCACACTAATTTCTTCAGTGTCAAAAAAATGGCCACAAGAAAAGGGCTTCCCTCAAGGCAGTATACACTGGTGGGAAGGAAGCAGGCACACTGTGTGATGACCAGTATGAGACTGGCTCTCTGAAAGAACCCCTATGGATCCATACAATAAGATCACCAGCTGTAGAAGTCCAGGTTTCCACCCCCACTGCTTTGCATCAGCACCTCCCAAGCCTACAATCAGCAATTCAACTGAAATGTTTCTTCAGCCTTTGAGAGCCACTAACAATCAGCTGATTCAGAGTTCATGGATGATGGTGGGAAGCATTAGGCCCTAGAACCCAGTGACTTTATAATGCTGTTGATGCTCATCTGAGAAGATAAAGCTCGATGACAACGCAAACCTTTGAAGCAGCAACTAAGTTTATGGAGAAAATGCCTACAGAATTGTATTCCTATTTCAAAACATAAAGGATTTGCTTGTATCCAGTTTTAATTTATGCCAGTCTTTTTGGAAAGAAACTGTCAGCTCTGCATTACTTTGCCCTTCTTACTTTACCTAGCTGGCTCCCAGTTTCACATAGTGATAAGGTAACATGCTGTAGGCTGAAAGAGTTAAGTTCATAATGAGAAATGGTCCCAGGCAGTAATATTCAGCTGTACCTGAGATACTGCATAAGTATCTGGGAACTGCAACTTACAAAAACAGAATCCCATTGAGACATTAATAACATGATAAGATCCAACAGCAGCATTTATGGATCATAGTCTGTACAGACAGAATCCTGGACCGGAAACTTCAAAGGGGTCTTAACAACACATCCGCACCAGCCAATTTTAATTCAAAAATATACCTGTCCTTTTGTCATGCTGTGCTCCTGCTCTGCCCACAGGGCCCTTCCCAAAGATACAACTTTCCCTATCCCAATCCCTTTTCAGGCTTCTCAACAGACAGTACCACCATCGCCCACCAGAGTCACTAGTTCCTTACAGTGGAATTTCAGTGCCTGAAAAATTGTGAGTGTAGGTGTCCTAAATTGCTGTCAAATGTAGAAGTCTCACTATATCTACAGAACTTTAAATTATCCATAACTGTGCTGGCTGTCATTACTATTAAACTATATAATGAGATTCCAAGTTCACAACATCTGGTAAAACTCACTCCTAATTGTTATTCCACTCAGCTTATGATTTGGTCCACATTTAGCAGCTCTTCTGCATTATCACACAGATAGAGATGAAAATAAACATGGAATGAATAACACATTTCACACTTCCACATCTCTCAGATTCTGTACAAAGAGAGCTTTAGGTCCTCAAACACAGAACAGTCAAATCTACATGAAATTAATTTGCAGATCTTGGTCTGAGAGAACAGATTTGTTTCCAGGTGATTCCTTGCTTGTTGTGAACCATTTGCAACTTGTCCATTGTGTTATGCAGTTACCCAAGTGACAGGTAAAGCAGGTAACTTCTGCACCCTTACTGGGATCAACAGAACTTACCTTCTGAAATTCAGTGTCACATTTAACCGCTATATGATGATGCTGAAACATCACCGTCTATACGTACTATACGTAACATGAGGACTTGTGAGAGTAAACCTGAGGGGGTCTAATATTAGTAGCAAGCAACCAGGACAAGATATTGGGTCAAATCAAAATCAGCTTTTAAACAGAACTGGTACCCAGATTTAGGAAAAAGAAAAAAAAAAAAAAAATAAAAAATAGAAGTCCCACGTAGCACATTTGAAAAGTATAAATTGGTTACACCAGCTACCAAGCAACCAAAACTACTTTTGCTGTAGTGAAACGTGATCATACAGAAACACTGCTCTCCCTCCCCCTGAAAAATTTCTTCAAAAATTACTACGCACTGGACTTGGGGTTCCAGCCTGAGACTGCTCTCAGAGCAAATGCACTTCTTAAAACCCACACAACACAGTGCAAAAGCCTTACACTTGGGTAGCTGAACTAACTCCAAAGCCTTCATATTTCTGCAAGGCCAATTAACCACAACGGAGCAAAGCCTCCCGAGCTGCCTGGGCAGTAACCCTGCTGCCATCACAAGCAAAACATCCGTGGCCCTCATACTTGCCTGATGAGTGCGTGTGTATACACACACACCCCCCTACCTCATCTTCTGTTCGTATGGCTTTGGGATCCCACCCGGTAACAGACCACGAAGCATGAGATACCACTAAAGCTTTCATTTTCCCCAGGGTAACCCTCAGAGACACCAACCTGTCCTGCGTGGAGGGGTCAAAGAAGTCTTGAGGCAGCACTCTGAGAGCAGCTTCACCAATGGCACATCCCTACCGCTGTCACCCTCCCTCAGAGAGGGAGCAGTTCCCACAGCGGGAAAAGGGCCTTCAGGGAAGCAAAAGGGCTGGTAGCCAGGTAGGCCTGGACCCTAGGCGAGCCACCAACACGGTGGACAAAGCCCTAGAGTGCAGATAAAGGTGGGAAGTGAGGAAAGAGCTGCTACACCCGTGCCACGGTGGAGACGGACCTACCACCAGCCCCGCGAAGGGGCCAGGGGCCGGGGAAGGGCCAGCCCGGGGCTGCCCGCCAGCCCCCGCCATCACCTCAGCTACGCGCTTCGCTACGCCGATCGCGTGGGAAAGCACAAGCCCGCCCAGCGCAGCCCGCCTACCGTACGCAGATTGCGTAGCGGCGGCGGCGGGCAGGAAGGGGCGGGCGGGAGGCGGCGGAAGGGAGCGCGGCGGCCGGAGGCAGGTCGGGTCCGGGCCGGGGGGGGGGGGCGCCGGCCGCGGGGGGGGGCAGCTCCGCGGGCTGAAGGGGCGAGCGGGCGGGACCCTGTCCCCAGGCCGCTCCCTGAGGGGAGGGCCGCGGCGGCATCCGCACTGTTGCCTGGGGCTTGTTTCCTCCTCTCACGGGTGGTCGAAAGTGCTAATTTAAAAAAAAAAAAAAAAACCTGCCTGTATTCTAACAGCAGAGGCTTCAAACACGAAGGACTTTTATGGTGAAAGTTGAGCGTTGGCAGACGGGGAGATGTTGGTCTTCACAGCTTTCCCAGCTGAGGTGTTTCCTTCACGTTTTTCCCGCTAGTGGTTTCTCTCTGCTGGTCACGTCCCCCCCCCCCCGCAGCTTTTCCCACCTTCTGTGTAATGACGTCGCTTCTCAGTCACTTCTGCTACAAGCATCTGGATTATGCGCTCAGTTTTGCAACTACTTAAACTTTTAGCTTTTCCATGTCCCCGTCCCCTCGGTCTCTGATCTCTGTTTCGTATTTAGCACACATCTCTGTGGTGGCCGTCTGTATTGCATTTACACGATTTTGTGGCAAGATGTGATTTTATCCGGGACTGAATTAATTGCATTCCATGTTTGTACTTAATATCTATGGATAAAAAGCAAAGGCCATGGCGCTCCCGGCATGTAAGCATGTGTGTGGGTCTGGAGCCCCACGCCAGTCCCAAGGAAACCTCATCTGCCCAGATGTTTCTGCAGTTTGATGCTTAACCGCAGTTTGGCCATGCCATCCTCTGGTGTGCCTTGGTAAGGCACTTTTTGGCCAGTCCTATCTGCGTAATTATCTACTTCTCTGAAGTTGATGTCTCATTAACTTTCGAGGGTCTCGGAGATTAATGTGTCAGCAGTGTGGTTACTTTTGTCGTAGTTCAGGACAAATGTAATCCCAGCATCTCGGTAATTCTCCCAGCAGTGGGGAGCACGTGTGTATTGTATAGCTTTAGATCTACAAAAGGATTTTGTTTCTGCTTTCCAAATAGGATTGTGAGAGCTGCTATATCTCAAGAAAACAAAGGGCTTTGTGTGAAAAGTGAGTGCTAGAGGTGGTAAAAAATTTCTCTTTCAAGTGACAGTTCAGACTATGGCAATGCTATTGATTGCTGAATCACATTGTTCAGGACAGAGACATGAATTCCTGGGCCACAAGCTGTAAATAACTTTCTGGATATATTTCTAGCTCTCAATTCCCTCATCTTGGATTTAGTGGCAAAATTTCTTGGCCCCAGTTTTCTTCACTAAATCACATGTTGCCATTTTTTAATGCTGCGTGTCTGCAAATCCAAGCCCATTTTTCCCTTGATATTTATGCTGGAATAGATACCTTTGCTGAGGGATGCACATTGAGCATGCTGATCAGAGCATCTTCAGAGCAAAGAAAAATATTTCACAAACTTTCTCAGGGTATTCTGGATACTCAGCATTGTCAATTATTTGTTGCATAATGGCAATAAAGTCGTGTGCAAGAAGCCACTATGGTGCCACTCCATAACTGGTCACAACTTTTATGTTATTGGGAAACAAGGTGAAACAGTTGGGTTTCTGGGTCCTTTTTAGCTGCTTCACTTTCATATGAGTCTGTGTTAACAAATCAATAGATCTATCACAGCGGGGAAGGGGTTTTTATTTTCAATGCTGTCTCCCATAATAAGCTAATAAATCTCTGGCCAGAGGTGAGTAGACATGCCAAGTAATTGTAAAGTTATTGAAACTTTAAGCATTAGATTATTTCTGGGCAAATTGTTCTGTAAATCTGGATGTTTTAGGAAAATCGGAGCCTAGTGAGTGATGTGAAATGGACTTTGGGGATCCAAATGAGGCCTTTGGAGCTCCCGAGGTAATAAAACAATCTTGGCATTTTGTAAGAACGCCCCGGAAAGTGTGGAGATGCATCTCGTGCCACCTTCACAGCTGCAATTCGGCGAGTGTAGCTGCTGCTGCCTGTTGAGGTTGGTACCGGAGCCGGCCCACCGGGGCCAGGATTGATCCCAGGCACCCGCTCTCCCCGGGGAAGTGTGATCCGGCCCTTCCCTTCTCTGGTTGGCATGGGAAGAGCCGTTTATTCCTGCGGACTTTGTGCTCCCATGTTGATGGAATGTGATGTTTCCACGAAAATGCACCGAGATGCCTTAGACCCATGTGCTCAAGCCATGGACGGCATCAGGGGTATGTGTTGTCGGGGGCTGAGCTCTCCCAGGGAGAGGTGCGAGTTACAATAACCGCTGGCCCTTGAGCGATTAATTTTCCTTTTGTTTATACATCAGCAGTTAAATAGTGCAAGCCTTGAGAAATATGAATTGCCTTGAATAAATTTCTAAGTAGGAAGGCAAGACAGACACCTTTCCTGGAAGACCACGACAAACAGCATGCAGATAATAAAATCTCTTTAAAAAGAGCTGCTCCTGTGCTGCATTTCTTTCTTCTAGGGCTCTAAAATAATCCCATAAATGGTGTCTGCATCCTCTGAGATTCAGTACTTGGTAAAATCAACTATAACAGGTTGCAGTGTCAGAGGCCCTTAATTCCTATTTAGCCACTTTCCTTTCTACAGGGTTCAGAAGAAAGGAAACATTTAAATAGGAAGTATATCATGAAATAGGTGGTTTGGGCCCCTTAGAAACTGATTGAATCTTGATGAAGTCAGCAGAAATTTCAGGTGATGTAAGCGAGCTTTGGAGCAGATTGATACCCATGTTTAATTGTGAAATGAGCTGTGGTCACGTCTGCCTGATTTCAGTCATCTTGGTTAGCTGCTTGTATAACCAGGAGCTCCTGGGGAGCAGTTGTAAGCCATTCAAGTGGAAGTGTGCACATCTGCACTCTGAAAAATAATATTTTGGCCCAGCTAAAGGTCCACGTGGTGCAGAGATCTCGTGTTTAGGGAAAAAGCAGTGGCAGGTTGTATAGAGGAGGGAATGTTACAAGCAAAGCATAGCAGTGTCCATGGGACACATTAAAAGTCCTCCTCATCAGAGGCTGCAGCTGGACTCAACTTTTTTAACACTGTCAGCAAAATGAACAGAGGAGCAATTTGGGTTGAGGGTGAGAGAGGGAAATTATTTTCCAGGCAGCTGTACTGATCCTTGCACCAGGTGCAGAGCTTTTATTTTACATGTTATTTTTGCAGTAAACATGTGGATGATATGCCTCAATGGAGGCCAGACTTTGCATCTTGAAGGGGACTTTTGCTGTGTAAAGTCTTGTCGGCTCATTTTGTGCAAAACTTTTGAGAATTGGTGAACAGAAAGTCTCCTGTTGTCTTCTTTGGTCACAGCACCATGTTGTGGGGGGATACACAAGCTGGACCTCGACAAACTTAACACCGACAGCAAGCGTGACAGTGAAAAATCAAAGACAATTTGTCTCCTTGCTTCTTGGTTTCCAACTGTTTGTTGTTTATTTTTTCTTCTGCTTTTTCCTCTTTGAACTTGCAGGTTCAAATGGCTGCAGAAGAGAAATGGAAAGGTTGGACTTCAAAACAGCATAGTGAGGCTGAACAGGCAGGTGAAACGGAACCGTGTGTGCTTCTGAGCCGGCGGCTGGGTGAACCGGGAAGATTTGCTTATGCAGCACTTTGTGGGATATCCCTAGCGGGGCTGTTCCCTGAAAAAGAGCAAAGGTACTACACGGAGTTGCAAAGGGGGAGCAAAGGAGGTGGCTTTTGGGTAGCAGCTTGGATGGAGCTGGTATCAAACTCTGTGTGGGGTCTTCTGAGGTTAGGGGAGTGGAAGATCCTTAAGACTTTTATACTTCAGCACAAATTGCATCCCTTAATACTGCAGACTTCAAAGCATGTATGGAAGAAGGGTCTCGCTCCATTCAGATTGCTTGCTTGTTTAGCCAGCTTGTGTAGCAACTCAACTTCTGCTGACTTCTTACAATGCCTTGATTTTTGTGTGAACAGCAGCAGAAAGCAACTGAAAGCAGGGACCATTCGAAGTTTGCAAAAATACCCAGTTCTGGAGCCTTAACAGCTACTGTTGTTTTACAGCTCCTTCAGGACAGAATTCATTGAGGGCTTTGTGAAATGGCTGGACCTGCCCGATGCTGTTTTACCTGCCATGACAGCATTTGCTAGTGGCTTAGGAGGTGAGGGCACAGAAACTTTTGCCCAGATTTTGCTGAAGGATCCCATCTTGAAAGAAAATCCAGTTGTCATTATTCAAGTAAGTTCATATCCTTATACTCGCCCTTGTTTGCTTTTGCAGAAGAGATCTGTCATACCTGTCTGTCTACAACTGAAGTTCTGTTTGTATAGTCAGGGAGGTAAAATCAATATTTCTGATATGCATATATTTCTGAGCAGCTGTGTGGGTGACTGGCAGTCTCTATCCATTAAAAGCTCGTGGAAGTGATGAACACGAGGCATGGTTACTGTCTGTTGAATGAATGTTTTGTGTCTGATGATTTTTCTCGACAGAACAGAGAACTGTCAAACTTTTTACTTCGACTGTATTATTGCAGGGGTTTTGATTCATATGTGTGTTCTACAGATTTTGCTGAAACACTGAACATGACAGGCCTGATTTTAGTTTGTTTAAAAGCCCCTTCACCATACCTGTAACACAAAACACCTCTATGTACATCTCCAAATAGCACGATTTCCAGAGTCAGCTTTGGCCAGAAGGAAATAAACTATTGTGACTTTATTTTCCTTCACTGAAAAAGCATTAGTGAAACTGGGACTGTTCTATATGATCTGATGTAAAAGCTGACATAAAGATAAAAGAGGCGAAGCATTTCAGTGGCATTCACATTTGCTGCACAGTCTCAGCTGGGGAAGATAGCTCCTCATCCAGCCTCATGTTATGCCGTGCAGAGTGCAGAGCATGGTAGGCTGCTGCTGCTGCTGCCACGCATAACATGCCACTGTCACCTTGCAATCTTGACAAGGAAACAGCGAGACATCCTGCATGCAGACAGTACGAACTCTGGTGTTGAGTAACAGTTATCACACGCTCACCTTTAGCAATGGCCCAACAGACCAGCAGATGTGAGAACATGGCTGCGTAAGTAAAGATCTGATAGGAGTGAATTTTCTTGGTCATCACGACCAGCTCCCATCATCTCGTCCGTCTGTCATGTCTCCTAGTCAGTCCATAAAGGGCCTCAGAGGATCTGCCCCAAATATCCAAATGTTTCAATGCCCAAAGTCCTATGGCAGCATGAGTACAGTGACAGAGAATCTTAATTAATAAGTTAGGACAGATCTTCTAAAATAAGACGAGCTGTTTTGATGTTGTTTGCTCAAAACCAGTAAATCCACACTCTGTTCTTTCTGCATTTAGATGGCTTGGTACTTCCCAGCTTGTTTCCCTTGTTCTTTCTGCTTCAGGATGGATTCTCTAGATTTAGGCAAGTCTTCCTGCATTACTGCTGAGTTTATTAAGGGTGAAATTTTGGTGAAATTTAGCTTGTGCTTGCTCTGAGATTATGTCGCATAAGGGGCTCCGTGTGCTTTTTAAAAAGTGGCTCTGGACCAGTGGGAGCAGCAGTGTTTTGTTCTGAGCCAGAGAACTGAGGCACTTATCACCTGGGTTCAGGTGGAATACAGAAGCCATAGATAATGGTTCTTTGATGAGTTGAAAGCAAAGATCAGGAATAGCTATCAGTCTAATGCCACAACATCAATACCTTATGCAGTCGTGCCCATATAGGGCAAGGTGATTGATTTTGTCAAAGGAAAGATAGAATTAAAGACTTTTTGTAGAGCCAGGCAGCAGAGGGAAAGCACACTGGTGTGTGGGAAACTTCAGCGTATCAAACTGAGATCAGCTTTTCCCTTCTTACCTGAAAATAAACAAGCTATGGGACAAAGCTTTGTGAATTCTTGAAATGTTGCTGCGTGGTGCTTTTGCTCCTTTGTATTCAGCTGCTACTGATGCAACATTTACTGTTTATTTACACAAACTGAAGTACACACTTCAGTTGCTCAGCGTGTTCAGTGGCAGGGTCTGTTGGCACTAATTCCTGCATTTTTGAATGCCCTCCATCTCAAAGGTGCTGATGGGATGATACATGAGGTCAGGACATTAGAGGTGAGCTCACCATTGATTCAGTGAAAATTTAGGGATTATGGATTTTTGTCTTTGTTTGCATTCATTGCAGATGACTAATACAGGCAAATGTTGTTTAACTGAATCCTTTAAGGACAGTAGTCATAACGCACAGGCTGTGGGTGCAGTATGAGAATGCAGTGCATCAAAAAGAGGTGAAGAAGGTGAAAATAGGTGAGAAAACATTGAAATTTCCTACAATTTTTTTTTTTTTTTTGCTCTGAACATACTTAGAATGCCCATTTTATTGTATTTTTCTATACATACCCATTGCGGTGTGGATTGGATGCCCTCTGTTGTTGAGGAAATGGGTTTTGCACTTGCAGCAATTCATAAAAAGCTGGAAAAAAACTCTGATTAAAGGTTGCTTCCCTTTCTTTGTAAGGTTTCTCAATCATATGGGTGATAGTCATGTGCACAGAGTTCACAGGGAAATTTAAAACACCAGCTTCAAAATAAGACTGAAATATAATAACTGCTGCTTAGAGGAGGAAAACAAACTACTTGTGAGCTAATCTAATCAGTGCTGATTGGATTCCAGATGACTGCATGGCAGCACATGCAAAGCCTAAACAAATGAGAAATAGTTGAGAATGCTAATTGGCACAGGTGCAATAAAAACAGTAGTTTGAGTTTATCACCCTGATTACCTGTATCCATCCCTCACCTTTTGAGATGCATGTACGTAAATGCTTAGGCCAGATTTTTAAAAGAGGCTCTTTAATACTAGGTGCTGCAGATGATACTGGGTATATTGTACAGGACCTGAGTCAACACCCACGGCTCCTTTTGCAACACTCGGAGAGAATTTATTGCCTGCAAACAGGCTCTGCACAAGCCAGCAAGCCTGTTCAGCAGGCTGCCTACCTTAGTCTGTAGAAAATGATAGCAACAAGGGTTACAAGCTTCGCCTTATTCTAGACTTCAGGCTCTTTGCTTGGTCAACTCTCTGCTTTGGGCTCTCAGCCTTGGACCTTCTGCTGGGCTTTGATACCTCTCTGCCAACCCTTCCCCACAAAATGCAGCCAGAGAGGAGGTGATGGTGCCCATGTATCTAACACCAAGGTAGTTACAGTACTCGGGCTCTAGGAAACCAGAGGTACATTTCTCCCTCTGCCTATGGGGATTAACGTCTCCGTCTCCCACATCCCACCAACTGGCCTGGGGAACAGGCTGCCGCGTGTGTGCAGGCACAGAATACTAATCATGGCCAGACCTCATAGGAAGCCTTTTTTTTTCTGCAGTGTGATGATTAGGGGAACAGAGGAGACCTGATTCAGTGACTAACTTAAATTGAAAGGGTTATTCACACACTGGAGATAGCAAACCAGGACCTTTCTTTTCTTGGGTGAGCACTCTGGCCATTGGGATGCAGGATGAAGGAGCAGTGATGACTGCTCTGTGCAGAGCCCAGCCCAGCAGATATCTTCTGGAAATCCTTATCCCATTAGGGTTTGCAGGACAGGCAAGGAAAAGAAGTGTGTGTGAAAACATTAGGCAGCAGTGGAGCAAAGGTTTTGGGGCTATACCTGATGAAAAAGCACCCACAGGTGGGAGTTCAGCTGCTCTAATCCTTTGTTTTCCCCAGTCCTATGCAAAAGCTCTCTTCTTTATGAAATAGCAGAACCTTCTCATGTTAAAATGGTATTCAGAGTCCAAGCGCTTACTTTTGCCTGGATAATATCTACAGTTTGCCCCACTTCTAGTAGGAGTTGGTTAATGATGACTTGCTCTCCATTCTACACTTCTCATGCAGTAGGGAAAAGATTAGAGACATTTTTACGATGCAAATTTTGCATAGGAGCTTACGGGACTAATAATCATAAACTCTTTGGCAGCCTCCTACATCTTTGGCTGCATGTTTCATGTTCCCAAAGGGCCGAAGGATTCCCTGTAAAATTCAGCTGTGCTTTATTTGTGTGTAGGAGAGGGAAGCAGCCAGACTGAGCTAGTGTTTAGTATTGTAGTTACATAAAGAACTTAAAATTTGTCCAGTGACAATAAAAGAGGAGAACAGTAGTAAAAACATTGGCCTCTTTTTTCATGGTTTTGTCCATTGAAACCATCTATTGGATTGATTTGGTTTTCCGATTTTGTTACGATGAACAGCCAACACAGAAGTCAAGTCCCTCAATCTTGACAGATGGCCATAAATTCTGACTTTTCTGGTTTTGAGCACTTAATCCAAAAGAACTTCATGCCAGATCAGCCTTACCGCCTAGAGCCATGAATTCCCAGAATGCCAAAGAAAATAGGGAGCACTGGTCCATTAGAGTAGCATTCAAATTTGTTACTCATTGAAAATATGAGTATATATGACTATAGAGCAAGCAGAGAGCATTAGAGAGGTAAGAGGATTAGAGCCCTGGGTCTCCAAACTTTGAAGTTCAGTGTAACCATTGTGCTTCCAATTGCAACAGGATCACTAATAACAAAAAATATGGGATGCTTCAGCATGTACCAACCATTATCTACTTCTGTCCAGTCATTTCTACCTGCATATGGGGAATTTTGTACTGGAAGCATCTGGCTTTGCTCTGTGTTGCCTTGCTGAATGGTAGCTTGCTGGTTTCCCACGTTTATGAACTGACATGCAGTAATTAAATCACAGTCTGATGGGTTTTCATGCCTCCATTTTGATACCTTCAGGCATACATTATCGGTTTTAACTTGCATATTGTTTTTTTCTTTCTAGGACCTTCTATCCTTCTCTCTTAGAGATGGTAAGTTTACCTAGCATTTATTCTTTGTAAGAATAATGTAGATGAGTTTACATCTGATACTTTAAAAATGCTCAAAAAGCTGAAGGTACCATCCTATTTTATCTTGGCTTCCTTTACAGCAAAAGCATTGGAGTCTTTCCCTGTGTCTGCTACAGGAAAAGCAACTATTATATTAGGAATGATTAAAAATACCTATTAAAAATTGAACAACTGTTCACTTCCTTACCTTCACATGCCAGGCATTGGCATGCAAATGTATGTGATGGTAGGAAAGTTCTGAACTGAAATACTTAGAGTGGGGTGTTTTTTCTCCAGTGTTTCCAGGGGAGCAGGCGACCTCTTCCTTTAGGAAGGCTGTAAAGGTGTTATGAACATCTCAGCCTAGCAAGTTTTCTGCAGATTGCTTGTTGCCTAAAAAGAAAAAAAAAAATATTCAGGGAATAAATTCCAGAATGTCATGTGAAGCCTATTATAAATAAAAGTGATTTTACTTGTATATTATATTACGCATAAAACCATTTTCTGATTTACAATCCATAACATGGATTAGTCTGATAAAATTAATGAAATAAAGACTGCTTACTGAACAAAATGTTCATTTTTAAAAGAAGCCTGTTTGATATCACTACATGCATTTTTAAATCTCTGTGTTTTAACATGTTCTCACAGGAAAGAACTCACTGGTTGCTATCAGCCTGTTTCACTGTAGAACAAAGTACTGGTTTTGTTCTTGCTTTATTTTTCATGGAAAATTGACAAGTCAGTTATTGCAAAACTGCTTATTTTGCTAAGCTGGAATTTAGAAGAAATATATTTTCAAGCCTCTCTGACTTACTGCCAAGCTGGCTAAGTAAAAAGCTAAGTAGGGTGTTAGCAGACAGGAAGCAAGAAGGCTACGCGTTAAAACACCTGCTTGGGCTTGCAAGATGTGGCACATATCAGGGATGAAGTGAAGATAAATACTATTCTTATTTCTCAACTAAGCACAGATCTTAAAAGTGGAGTTATTAAAGCCTACCAGAGTCGTTCAGTATCTTGGTAGTGATGGTAATAAATAAATAAACTTAATAGATTGCCAAATGCCATATTTGATCTATATGCAGCAGGTATCAGAAACATACTTTGTGGTTGGGTCTTGCTGGTATCTTCACCCACCCCTGGAAAAGCAATTGCATTTTTCATCCCAGAGTGCACCAAGAACCCTTTACAAAAGCTTACCATCAGCATGCAGCAGGTGCTACTGAAACATGTTACAAAAGCAAGAGTTGACACAAATAATTTAAAATCTATTACATTTTAAATGTCTCTTCTTAGAGAACACCTGCTTATAAGTGCAGGAGTAATCATTACTCCTATCATGTGTTGTCTGAGTGCGTTGTCTACTTCCACATCTCCTGCAGTGAAGTATAAATGCAAACAATTGTTGGTGATGCTGCTAGGTGAGCTGGTGTGTAGTTGTAAATTCCAGAGTCCCTCTTGTTGCCAACAAGATGAACTGAACATAAAGGTTTTGTATGGAGGTGCATTTTTACAAGATACTGGATCTTGCATTGGTGCATAGTTGAGGTGTACAGTGTCATGTTACCCACATAGATATATATTTGATATTTCCAGTTAGGACTGGTCTTGCTGCAGCATTTCTCTGTTGAGAAGAAAAATGCAGCCTATCCAGAGCCAAAAGGCCTCTATCACAGAGAGTGAAGACGAAAGGATTTGAGATCCTTTTTCTGCCATAGAGGCAATTACCTGGTGTCGTGACTTTATTCACAGGATGAGGTCTGCAGGGAAGAAGGATTTTCCATTTATTGCTCTCTTCTCTAGATAGTAAGAGCTGTCTTCAAATACATGGAAGATGGAGGGCCTGAGAGAAGGAGCTATGCTTGTATGTGACACGGTCCTCTAGCACAGCTGAGTGCACCATTTACTTGCTATTTAACCTGGTGTGACGCAGATTGATTTTCTGGGCTTCCCTCTGTTTAAGGATACTATGATGCTCGAGTGAGGGTGTTGATCTGCCACGTCAGCTGGCTGCTGAGAATCCCCTTGGAGGAGCTGGAAGTCCTGGAGGAATCTCTGCTTGAGAGCCTGAAGGAACAAAAAGAAGAAGAGTCAGAGTAAGAACATTTGGGTTGACTACGGGATGAAAAAACACCGCTGGTGCTTGCTTGAAAGTGTAGCAGTAATTACCTGTGCCTAAGTCCAGTCTCTGATCATTCCCCCCACAGCTCTTAGTGCAGTAATTTATGGCCTGATTAGGATTGCAGAGCCCTCACAGCACTTCAGCTGCACAGAAGCAGAAAAGCTCAGCATTCTTAAAATCAGAGCGGAGACCCAACCTTGCAAGCTGCTAAAGGTTACTCTGCACTCAACTGCCTCATTTCCTTGTTCCAGTCACCTACCTACACTATAGATTATGCTTAAATACATCAGAAAGATCTTGTGTCTCTAATCTCTTGGCCCAATATTATTCAGATAGAGCAGCCTCTTGCAGAATGAAGTTCAGGATGAGATCCTCAGCTGCACATTTTCTATGGATCTGCCCTTCTCTGTGCCCGTTTAAGGGACAGCTGTCTAACTCGAAGGTAGATTTCTGAGAGAGCAACAATCTGCATCTTCAGATGCTTATGGATCTGACTCCTAATTCTGTGTTATTAATATAAGATTAATTCTCTTAATCACCATTTCTTAGATGTGAAACAGGCAAAAAGTTGGTATCTAAAAGAAATGTAATATTTTTATATTTCACTTACCAGGCAGGAATTGTATGAAGTTTTAGCAATATGTAAGGCAGTAAACATGTCCATAGTGGACTTTCAAGGGACAGTTTAATATTTTTATCTATCAACTCAGCAGACAGGTTGTGAGATTAACCTGAGTGCTAATAAAGGCTTTAATCAACATCCCTGACACAGTACAGTTCACACGTTACCATGGGGTCCAGCACATGACGGGTATCTTTCAGTTATAGCTTTTTTTAAATAATGCTTAACTTTATAGTGCACCGTAAAAAGAGAAAGTCAGAATCATCTCAGAGATCAGGCACTGCTGAACAGGACACCATTTGGCACGCAGGATAAGGGTTGCTATTAATCAGGACTGTTTTGCTGTGGCTTGTACAAACAAACTCAGTCCTGGGCCTTCAGCATAGGAAAACACCGATGCCAAGGGTGGGATGTCACTTGCAAAGATGATGCTCCAGCACCTGATTCTTTATCAAGTGGACTGTGGCTCCTGTAGCACAACCCAAAAATACAGCAGTGGGCCTGATAATGGCAAGAGCCAGTGGCGAATTACGCTGCATACTTACAAGCGTGGCTTTCAAATGTTGCAGCAAGGCCAGTGGGTTTTGTGCATACCTGGTGTGGGGAAAGCCATGGATTTCAATCTTGTTCTTTGCCCAAGTTGCTGCTATGGAAGTAAATACCTATTAGATAAAGGAAAAAAAAAATCTTTATAGTGAGAGTGGTCCAAGATTGCAGTGTGAACACATTTGTTATCACGGCTGAGCTTTGTGGGGAATCGATGACCCTTTGTTTTAAAGTCAATGGGGGAAGGAAGCAGAATATAAACCTGTCACTGCTTTGACCTCGCAGACTTTTGGGGCAGGGGATACATTAACATCTGCTTAGGATGCTTCCAGCTTTGACCATCCACTGCAAGAGGTTTTGGAACAGTAACAACTAAACAGGCTTTTGGCAGCTTCTTGCATAGGCATTTTTTACTGATACTTGTTAACAAAAGATTTTGCTCCTGCCTTTGCTGCTGTGGGTGTGTTGGACAGTGGCCCAGAACGTGCAAGGTTAAATGTACAATCATCTTTAGAACAATGATCCAAACACTTAAATCCGTATTACTAGCACCAAACGTGTTCTGACTTGCAGGTGTGAACCATTCTTTGTACATGGTTCTGTAAGAAACTGGAAAACATGACATCATTTGCTTGCTAACATGTACTCCTGCCACTTTTCATCATTGGAAAATGAACTGAAATTCCACCTATAAAATCTCTCTGAACATAATTTGTGGTTCAGGCAAGAAGCTTCATATCCAAGATCATTAAGGGTAGAGAAGTACCAGAAAAGGCAGTTAATTACCATAGTGGATAAAAAGCAGTCTGGTAATCAAGTGATAATTGTAATGCAGAAGCTATTAGGAAAGCAACTGTCAAAAGCAGTTGCTAGCAGCTACGGAAGGAGGGCAATGACAGGTAAAACTTCTTATGACAGTCGTTTTACTTACGGCATCTTCAGGAAGGATTTAGCTGCAAACTATCTACCCACGTAACTCAAATTGCTCATTATTGCAACCAAAGCCAGATTAGCTGTATTTTAGCAACCTCAATGTCATTATTTTCAGCCCGAGACAACAGCACATTGACTATAAAAGCTGGTGAGCCACTATGTTGAACAGAAATTGCTGGATATTGCCAACTTAGGTATTAACAGTTCCTTGTTTAAGGATCTCCAAGAGCAATTTTTTCCAAAGCCAGGCACTCAGCTCGGTGATTGCATGCACAGACTAGGGCATAGCCAAATACTGCTTTGACCATGGGTTTGTAGAAAGGGAACTTGGTTATACAGAAACTGCTGAAGAGATAGCCATTGCAGGCTGCACTGTCATTCTCTGCAGTGATGTCTGCAGCTGCGGAAGGTAGTACACGATGGTTTTTTTGGAGGATCTCTGTGGAGACAAAGTCTCCGTGCCATGCAAGTCAGTGGGAGCTCTGCCATTGACTTCAGCGACGCAAGGATTTCACCCACTGTGCTTCATTCTCCTCCTGCTGTGCTTTACAAAGCTGCATATTGTTTGGGACTCATCTAAAATTGTCTTTATCAAAATTACAGTGTGCTTAGGGGGTTCCAGGAAGGATTAGGCAATTATATGGATAATGAAAATCCATAATTAGGCTAGGATTAAGAGGGAAAATATCCAAGTTTGGAAGCAAGATAAATTCTCATGTTTCAAGGCCCAGATTAAGCACTGTGTATGCAGGCTAGAGGGAACCTTCCTTTGTAAACAACTTATTCCAGTATCCTCTGTTTCTCGCACTTTCCTCTGAAGTGAGAAGTATTTCTTGTAAGAGAGAAACCAAAGACAGTGGAGAGAAGCCAAAAGTAGTGCCTAGTAAGTGATATTTGTTCCTTTTAGGTTTACTTACCTGTCCCTGGTAAGCTTGTGAAAATGTAGTTTAAATATACACAGACAAATGAACTAATGACTGTGTTTAATACAACTATTATATTATTATATTGCAATGTGCGATTAGAAAGCAGCTCAATATAAACACTGTTGTTGGAAAATAGTTTAATACCATCTCTTTGTTTGGTAGCACAAATTACCCCTATTCCCTTTCATTTCAAACGCTTTTCCCTGTTTCCACTTAGCTTTCGTGTGTTTTTTTAAGACACATTGGTAGTATAGAGTTATTGAAATGCTTTTGACTTTTTGTTTCTTTTTTTTTTTTTTTTTTACAAGCTTCAGCCCTATTAGGAAGGGTTTTCCGAGTAAGTAACATCTGTTGGCTTTTGTCAGCAATTAAATCATTTCAATTTAAATCTGTGGGTTTACGTCCATGCTCATAAATCTGAGTGTGTTGTCACAGTCCACACCTGCATGTTACTTTTTACTGTTCCCAGCAGGAAAATTACACTGAGGAGAATAAAAGCAGATTCTGATGCAGCACTGTTATGTGTCAGGCTTTTCCATCAGCTTTTATGTTTCTAATCCCCCCACAGAACTGCAGAAGTATCAAGAAAAAAGAAGGAAAGAAGAAAAAAGCTAAAGAGATACCTGCTGATCGGTTTGGCAACTGTTGGGGGTGGAACAGTGATCGGTGAGGCCGCCCTAGGCATTCTGGAGACTTGCTCCTGAATTGCATGCACAGCACTAGAGGCAGGGTGGGGGTGCTGAATTACACATTGAGCAACAGAAGCCATGGTACCTCTTAGCACAGGCTGTAATTTTAAAATGTTCACTGCTTTTCTCTGCCAGACTGAAGGTAGTATGTCACTATAGATACCAAAAAAACACCCCAAACAAACAAACAAACAAACCACCAAGAAGAGAAACCCCAAATGCAAGAAAAGTATTTTCAGCCACACAAAAATAAAACTGAAAGAATTAGCTGAGAAAGTTATTCCAGAGTACCTTCACTGGCTGGGGGAAATATTAAACTGAGATCATCACTCTTAAAAAATATTTTCTCCTCTTTTGCTCTCGTTATAAAGAGGGTCAGATCTTCAAATTCAGAACAGTATGAGATTAGATCAATGTTTCCTAAGCAAATAAGGCATAGCTCACCCCAGTCTACCACACATTCCTCCTTTGACCTTTAAATTATTCTTCATTTTTACTAAGTCAGTCAAAGAACCTGTGCAGAGATTCAAGGCCTGGGGAGGGTGTCAGAAAGCCCCTTCATTGGTGATGCAAAAAATACCATCATTTGTACTCTTTCAGTAGCATTAGCAGTGCTCACACAGTACAGGGAAATGACTGCCTGGTTTCAGTAAGTTACAATAGTTGGTTGACATGACTTGTTGCATCTTCAGGCTTGACAGGGGGTCTTGCTGCCCCTCTGGTTGCTGCGGGAGCTGCTACTATCATCGGAAGTGCTGGAGCAGCTGCTTTAGGTTCAACTGCTGGAATTGCTGTCATGGCATCCCTTTTTGGAGCAGCTGGAGCTGGCCTTACTGGTAAGAGAGTGACCGCACATTTCTCAGCTACTGAGGCGCAGGATCATGTCTGCAAATGCAGAGTGAATGACTTAACTGAACTCCACAGAGCAAGGGAAGCAATCTGAGGTGTAATCTTCAACTGTAAAATTATTATTTCAATGCTGATTAAGATACTGTGTAGCCCCTGATGACCAAGAAGGAAAATAATATTTGGTATGTGGCTAATGAAGGAAATGAAGGCTTGCTGCTTTGGATTAGAAAGATGCTGCCATGGAGAGCAGCGGCTGTTACAGCTGATGTCTGGTCTGCAGTAAAAAAGCGTTCTGCTGGGATTCCCTCAGATCACACAAGCTCAGAAGGATCATGCTGGCTCCATACCAAGCTCTAAGTAATGCATGGACTGGCTAAGGGTTTTGGAAAGGAAAAAAATCACTCCAAATTACTCGGGTAGTTTCTTATGAACTTATACTCCTAGCAGAGCCTGTCCTTGCTGTGTGATTTCTGAGACTCGTGTTTTTGCCCCACTGTGTGTAGGATACAAGATGAAGAAACGTGTGGGAGCCATAGAAGAGTTTGAATTCCTCCCACTCACTGAAGGAAAGCAGCTTCATATCACCATAGCAATTACTGGATGGCTGTGCGCTGGCAAGTATGGTAAGAACAAGATGAGGGAACTGAGAGGAGCCTGGAGAGCCACGTCTGTGTTCCACTCCAGGCAATGTTTGTGCTCTCGTAGCACTGTGTTTTCCCCACACTTGCATGGCCTATTCACTGAAGAGATCAACTCTCAGTGTAAGACTTTGTAACCCAATCTGCAATCTCAATCAAAACAGAGGAAAGAGAGAGGGTGTTAAATTGGTAGCGATAGTAGGATTGGTGGTAGTCATAGCAGAATTGTTTCTGTTAATAAATGCTGTCTGGTTTTGCTAGGAAAGGTCTGTTTGGGGTGGATGGTTTCCAGCATTTGTACAAAGTGTCTCACCTATCTCTGAGACCTTGTTTATCCTCCAGCAATTAACAGAAAATACTGTCTTTCTTCTTTCTCGGTATCTGCCAGATAATGAGGTTTATTGGCAAGAAAGTTATGTCAAGTAAATGGTGTTAAGTGTAGCATTCAGGAGGTGAACTTAAAGGCAACAACCTTGAAAAGTCTGTAGTGTTTTAATTTCCAGTATAGCTTGTCATATAACATATGTCAACTGTCTGACGATGTGTTCAACAACCTGACTGAACAGCTGCCAATTTATTCAGAAGCATCATGATTAGCATTGGATATCATTAATGCAGAAGGATGTCTCTGTCCTGTTGCTTGTTAGATTGCAGCTTGCTGTCAGAGTATGGTTATTTTCACTTTGCAGTAGTGTGCTTTGGCTTTTCTCATCGTCTGCTTGCCAGGGGTCCAAATCCTTGGGGTTGGAGCACTCCCAGGCACCGCTGCAAAGTCAAGCGTGTCCCTTCAGGAACCTTTTTGTGTCAGTTTGCCCTTAAAAGGGAGTTACAAATGACACACATTCTTCTTCCATAACTAGCAATCTGCTATCATGTTTAAAAAGGCAAAACTAGAAGTCATCCATTTTCCTCCTTACAGTTGTGTCTGTCTACTTACACACTTGCACGACTCGTTAAAACAGAGGGACTGAGGACAGGATTTTTATGGAATTCACTACCTTGTGATTTTTGAGCTCCCAGTAGCTGCCCATCTGTGGGTTCACGAATCTGACAGTCCCTTGTGGTGTGATCCGGCACGGGGCTCTCTCATGCCACTTTGGTCTGCAGCTGCCTCAACCTGCCCTGCATTGTTTGGGGAAGGAACAGTGTGGAAGGGTTTTAGTTAATTAAAATGAAAATTCTGCTCTGCCCTTCAGAGTTCATCTGCCATTAATAGCCTTGCCAGGCCCCTCCTGGCCACTTAGTACAAGCTACACTAAAACAAGAGAGAGTATGGCTTAAAAATTGTTCTTTCAACCAAAAATTAGACTTGCACAGTGAAAATTACCCATTATCTCTCAAACATCCAGGCATTGCTTTTGATTAGCACCTGGAGGGAAAAAAATTAAACTGAAGTGGCTAATGAAGCTAGGTGGCAAAGTAAAAATAACTGCAATCTGGATCTGCAAATGCAGATTCCTTGTTTTCAGACAGGGCCACTACTGCAATCCTTGCCCACCTAACTCAAGTGCTGGGAAGATGCTCTGTGTTAGATTTTGACAAGATCTTACGTATTTTCTGTGCTTCTGGTCCCATTGAACTCAGTCTGTGCAGCCATTCAGCACTTCATCTTTCTGAGGACAGGCTCTCCTTTGCTCTATATGAGAAGATGGAGCTGTGGGACTTGTCCTGATGTCTGATGATAGGAGGAATGTCCTTAATACCTGACATAATTAGCATTAATGTCCATCTGTCTTGGCAGTCTTTGAGGCAATTGAATGGGTCATGAAGTCTGAGTCTGTCCACACTGAAAACTCTTTGCCAAGGCAGCTAAAGCTGCACGATTATTTACAAAGCCCAAAGTTATTGTAAAACAGTAGAAATATGGAGTGTAAATCTAACAGTATTTTTAAATATGATTCCTCATTATCACAGTATATAAGTATGTTCCAGTGTATATATAAGTATGTTCTGCTAGTTCGTTTCTGATTCTTTCTTGGACTCATCTTACCAGGAGTCAGCTGTTGTTGCGTTATCTCTGAACATGAATTCCATCTTTGCAACCTTCTCAGGGAGCTTCACAGCACCATGGAGCAGCATGTTGCAATCGAGTGAGCAGTATTGTCTGGCCTGGGAATCCAAGTACTTGATGGAGCTTGGCAACGCCTTAGATTCCCTGCTGAATGGTTTTGTGAACATGATGGCTCAAGAAGCCCTAAAATTCACTGTCTTGTCAGGTAAGAACCTAAATCGTATCAGATCTGCCTCAGTGGCTCTTGTGCAGCCTTACTGTTGGTGTCTGTTTAAAGGAGCTTTCCTAAAGAAGGATCGTTTTTGAGAAGACATCTCCCTTGGCACTGTTGGCACCGCCCTGCAGAAGTGGCCCGAGCACCTTTTCTGCCACACCTGTAATTTAGATTTGCTTTCCTGGATTGCTGAGCCTCTGTGTCATTGACTCGTTCTTTTAAAATTACAGCTGGAAACACCTTCCTACACGCGTGACTGTGTTCAGTGCTATTACACTGTGGTTTACTGCTTTACATAAACCTTTCAAACATGCAGGTTACATTCATGCATGGCATCTGTTTGCCTCCATATCAGAACATCATATTCTTTCTTAACTTTAGTCTAGCAAAACATTTCTCAGATCAGCTCTTGAGAAAGAAGAACTGGAAATGACAAAAGGTCCTAGGTTTAGCTTTTAACTTTAGTGAACCATCTTGCTTTTGATGTTCCCTACGAGCAGGCCAGATTTGTGACTATGCCATGCTGTTTGCTCTGTGTGTTGCAGGTATTGTGACGGCCTTGACTTGGCCAACTTCACTCCTGACTGTTGCCAGTGTCATTGACAACCCCTGGGGAGTGTGTCTCCATCGGTCTGCTGAAGTAGGCAAACACCTAGCACATATCCTGCTCAGTCGACAGCAGGTAATTGGCTAGTAATTCTCCAGGAATAATGGCTGGAAGGGATTTGGCTCATGGAGGTTAAGTTTTATAGTCTAGCTAGGTAACTATCAAGTGGTATCTTTCAAAAAAAAAACTAATAATAAACTGAAAAATGAAAAAACACTGCAGGAAGGTGACCAGCACGTATCTGGTTTGTTGGGGAAGAATTGGAAGTCCCAAGTGAATCAAAGTCCTGCTAAGATTTGTTCCCTTTAACCTAAAGCTTTTCTAAATGAAGAAGAGGAGATCCAGGTCATAAATGACAAGTAGCTTGACCATATCACAAAACAGCCAGGCCAACTCACTTAGTGGAAGTTTGAGAACAGAAAGCAAAGATAGGTGAAAAGGAAAAGAGCATACAGAGTGTTAAAAATCTTCACTGATAATTAAGAAGCACTAGCAAAACAATGTAAGAGAAGACTGCAGCAATGTTTTTGCCTACAGAGAAGTGGAATGGCTGGTACCTGAAAGAATAACAGAAGTTATTAAGCCTCCCTAAGAAGACTTGCAAAAGCTATTTCTGCCCCACGAAAGCCTGACATTATTTGCTGGGCTGTCGCTGGCACGGAGGGAGGCTGGTTTCTGCTGGCCACGTGTTCGTCTCGCAGGCACGCTGGCCTGGTATCTGGGACAGAGGAGCCCTGTGGGGGCCCTGGCCCCAGAGCTGCGTGTCGTAACAATGTGAAACAGCAGAGTAGAAACCAACTTGGATTTCTCATAAAAATACAATCCCGGGAAAGGCAATAAACTTTATTTCATACAAGCCCTTTGTTTTGCTCGGGGGCATTTGTTACTGCCTTTTAAACATTCGCTGTTGTGAAAACACACAATCCAGTGTGCTGGAGCATCTAAAAGTAGTTAGTGTGATGTCTAGGGGGTGCATCGCACACCTGCTCCCTGCTTAATACAAAGACCATTTTTCACTCTTGTTAAGATTAGGCTCCCTTTGATTTTATAGAAAATCTTATTAGGCTATTCAAAATAACAGCTTAGCCCACATCATTTTTTGTAACAGCCACACAGTGCTGCTGTCATTCAGTCTTAAATCTAGAGGCGGTCGATATTTTTGTATTACAGCTTCTGTTCATTGAAACATTTCTAGGAAAATTTTGCGCCTTCAATTAGGCTTTCATCTGGAAATTTCAAAACAATGACAGCATCTGGTTTGTTTCTGTTTGAAACATCTGCTTTGTTGTAACTTCTGATCATTAGATTCTTTCAACTTATTTTCTGAATATCAAAAAATACAAAATACTCAGATATGCAGAATTCTCAATATTGAACTGTGCATAACTCTGAGGATACATAACCCCTTGGAAATCAACCAAATTGCTCAGATCTTTACAAGATCATGTACAAGCATGAGTGCTTTGTGTATCAGGGTCTCAGGGATCCTGCAGCCAGTCTCTCTAGGTCTAGAACAGTATTTGATGGTATTTTCTCCTTTCCTTCTTTCTTAGGGCAAGCGACCTGTCACACTGATTGGCTTCAGTCTGGGTGCAAGGGTCATTTACTTCTGCCTGCAGGAAATGGCTCAAGAAAAAGGTAAGATTCACCTTCTAAGCTTTTTCTTCTGTATTTTCCTTACTGCTGGTAGAGAAGTTTTTCTTCCAAGAGGAAGAGTTCAGGAACAGAGCTTGGGTCTTTTAGGATAGGGCAAAACCCTCAAAAAATGGTTTTGAAGTGCATTTGGAGCCAAGTTCTACCATCATTTCTACCAGTTCAGTGGATTAAATCCGCTGTCTTCACTCGAGGTGCTCCAGTGTGTCAGTTGGGTCTCTAGTCTGTAAACAACAGCTTGACATTTTGTGACATTCGGCTGCTAGATCAGTCTGTGAGCTGCCCACGCGCCACTGTGATCTTGGCAGAGGATGGTTTGCCTTTACTGGAAGCTCTCTGTAGCTATTGTATCTGATTCCCTGAGTCCTCCCTTCCATTTAAGTCATGAAATGCCACTGTCATCTGCTATTTTCATGGTAATTTTTCCCCAAAGTCAAGTATAAAACCATCTGTCAATTTATTACCCATTGTGGTTCTGTTTATTAATAGATTCTATTTTTAATTTAGAAAAAGAATAAAATCATTATGATCAGTTGATGTAAATTGCATCTTGGAGTTGAGTCAGTAGTGAGTGTGCGCATGCAGCCTGCCTTCCCCCCTATGTAGCTAATTTAATTCATTAACCATTTAGCCTCACAAAGAGTTGCTAATAAATAAGGAGCTTTATAAAGGAAAATGTTCAGTAAAGTCCAAGAAGGTGGGAATAGCGTCAAGTGAGGATGGAGAAGGTCGGCATTTTTTCTGTTGACAGCTGTGTGCCAGAACCTCACTTCTGGTTTAAGATGGAAGTCCTCAAATACAGAAATTCTGTTCTCAAAATAAATCTAATCAAATCCAGAATGATCCTAATGGAGTTATGCTGAAGCCAGAATGCAGATCCTAATCTGGCCCTAGATCTAATCTTTTTGTGCCCTAGGAATGCCAGGGGCTGAGATATTTTCAGGCTTCTATTTAATGGTCTGCAGTCTCTCGCTGGAATAACCTGGTACCGTGGTGAAGTCATACGTGAAAGGAAATCATTAGGGGTCTTTAAGGTTGGCTGCCATTCTAAAGAAATCTAAGCATCATAATTATGTATCATAGCAGTTCCCCACTGTACACTAATTTTTCAGTTCCTTAATTGAATTATGAAAGCTGAGCTGTTTGCGAGATGAAAAGCAGCATGTTTAGTGCAGATTGCCAAGGCGTTCTTCACATGCACATTCCAGTGCAAGCCACAGAAGGAATGGAGCTGAGACCTGGGACATCTGAGACTGATTTGGGTTTGGACGTGGATATCTCACACAAAAGAAACACAAGGCCTAGTCATGCAGGCCTTTTGTGTCCAGATGGCAGTGGCATTTCTGAGGACAAATAACTAATCGTAGATTATTCAGTGAAACACCGTGGCAGAAATTCAAATTCTGTTAAAAGAAAATACTCTTCTGCAAGGCAATTAAATAACCTTTGGGATACTTCATCACAAATTACTTTGGAAGCCAGAGCTTAGTAGATTTCCAGAAAATGACATTATAGCAAAAAATGTAGTAATGACCTGTCAGGGAGAAGTTACTGCATGGGAGGATCATTGGTCTGATTTCTTCATCACGATTCCAATGCATTTCAGTAAATAAGAAGTGTAAACTAATGAAAACTGGTAATGGCTGTTACCACCAGAACCTGAACCTTGAAACCAAACCGCGCGCAATAAGAGAGAGGTATCACAGGTTACGTATTTGTCTAATACTGATCACAGTGTCCTACAGAACTGCTTGTGTGACCGGTATCACTGCTGGGTTACCACCTCTGCTGTGGTTAGGAATCAGGAATACTGCTGCCAAACTCTGCCACGAAACACTGTCCTTGGCACTGCCTCTGTACGATGCCCAGAGAAAGCTGAATTCCACCCCTGTTCTCTTTTCAGCGAGGATCACTGTAATGAGATGCTTTCCTCTTTGCCCAGTGAGTTCTACTCTAAAAGCACAGCAGAGCCAGCTCCCCAGGACTCGTTATGGCCTCTGGGTCAGCTTGTGTCTTCTGCACCTTTTCTGGACAAAACTTACCAGTTTTTAATCTTTCCTTATCAGTAAGTCCTTTTTTTTTTTTTACATTTTCCTGCTTGTGCAGGCTGGATTGTTCTTCATCATATAAAAGATCTGCAAACTGTGAAATCATTTAATTTATCTAGAGTGTCAGCAACTAGGAAGGCCAGTGATCTGTTCACAGGTTTCTGACCCTCTCTGTCAACATTCAAAGAAAATTAGTATTTTTCAGCTAAGTCTAAACATTTTTGTTCTGAGCAAGAAATAAGCCGTACAAAGGACTGGAGAAACAAAAGCTTCCAATACCTTGCCCAAATGTTCGAGATCCTGATGAATTAGCTGTTTGTTTATTCAGTTGGCTCACACTGTGGCCATGGAATTTAGTACCTTGGTTGGAACAAGATCCCCATTTGCAGAGCTCTGGGTTTCTTTTTCATTGCCCATGATTATGGGAACAGGACTTTATTGCTCACAGATTACACTAACAAAATTGAATTGCTCCTTGCTGTTCTCTTGATTAGTGCAAAATTTGCTTTGCAAGAAGAAATAATACCACGAGAGCTCTTTTGGATTGTTGTCAGGTGCTGGGATTTACACTGCAGAGAAAGATGCAGGCGCTGCAGGCAGTTCCAAGTCCTTTACTGCTATTAGGGAAAGGAAACCAATTGGTTTACATTTAAAAGTCCAGCCTGGCAGCACCTCTCCATCATAACTTGATGTGGTATGCAGTCATTCTCACTTTCACTTCCCCCTAAACTGCAGCGTGTTATTTTACAAGTTGCAAACGCCAGGCTGAGAATGGTTTAGCTCACATCTTGTGAACGCTGGTCTCCCACAGGTGGAGGGTATGGATTTGGTGTGCTCTGCCCATGAGTCTCCCGAGACGTGCGCTGCTGTGAATTTCATTTAACTGCTATGGCATCAGGTGCTTGATCTCTCTTTACAAAGATTTATGAATAGATATTAATATATTGTTTAGGAAAGTAGCAGAGCTGCCCATTATTTCTCATTCAATCATTATTCCTACTGAAATTCCCCAGCTGCAGCTGTCTGATAAGAGATGAAGATTTATTATGCTTCAAAGTCATCATTCCTTTTCAGCAAATCATGCCCTGGGCATCCAGGTTAAAGTAACCTTCAAGAAAAACAAATCAGTTTGATAGATTATCACTTTGTGTTGGCAAATGCCTTCATTGTTGCCAGCTCCCAAACAATATTAAGAATTTGGGGGTTTTCTGTTGCGCGTACGGGTCATGTTTTTCATGAACGCAGCTCTAAGGACTGGTTGTGGGAAAAGTTTATCATGGTTAACATATGACAACATTTACTCACTATATGGAATGTCAGTCCCTTTCACCTGTTTCAAAGCGCAGTGGTTCAGCTCCAGATCAATAGGTCTGTGAAAAGAACTTTCCATAGGTTTGCTGCTTGAACTGCATCTTTCTGGACACAGGCCTGGCCACTCTCCCTCTTGCCATCAGCCTCGCTCCTTTCACTGTCTCAGAATCTCTAATTTTCACATTTACTGACTCTGGCTGGAACTGCGGACACTTAACATCTATGCAAAATGCTGTCTAAGATCCTCTTTTCCATTGTTTCTGTCTTTAAAATATAAACCATGAAAATGACGATTTTTCTGTAGTGCACCTCGGAACATACCCCTCCTTCACATACATTTAAAGGTGTATTTTCTGATCCGTCTTCTAAATCAGAGCTGTTCTGCTTTCATCTTAATAGACTCTCAGGGGATCATTGAAGATGTGGTCTTACTGGGAGCTCCAGTGGAAGGAGAAGCCAAGTACTGGAGAGCTATCACAAAAGTGGTGTCGGGCAGGATCATAAATGGTTATTGCAGGTCTGTATGTGCTCAGTCCCCTGCTTCATTATCCTAGCGTCACTTTGAAAGGATTTTGTACATTTATCCCTTTTAAACATTTTGTAAGTGAGTAATTGTTCAGCTGGTGAGGATGTTGATTCAGTAGTGCCAGAGGCAGCAGTGCCAGAGCCTCTTCCCTCCCGAGGTCTCTCCCTCGGATTAATTGGAGATGACAGTCTCCAGGAGCCACTTGAAGGCTGTTCTGTCTCCAGCTCTTGGCTGTTTGCAATGCGTGGTTACACTGGAAGCCTGAGGGGCTCAATATGTAGGTCCTGTTCATACAGTGGCAATGTTATATCAGCCTGGCAGCTTAAAGCTGGGTCAGTGTGTTTGTGTGCATAATCTGACATATTCTAAGGTCCCTTTAAATCTCAGCCTTATGTAAAGGACTATAAGTAGGGCTGCTAGGTTCATTGACAGGTAAAGAATGTGAATTAAGTTCTATAAACGCTTTGAGATACAATTCACTGGGGGCTGCTTATGGGGAATGAGATGTAAAAATTGCAACGGAAGGGAAGGAACTCAAGCAAATGGAAGATTTTTTTGTATCTAGAGTCAGTTTCTGGTCAAGATAGTCCACATGAACAAGATATTTTACTTACAAAGGAAGTGTAGCCGGAATAGCTGTAGCAAATTTACTAAGGATGTGAAAGAATAGAAAGGTTACCTTGAAACTAAATATTAGCCTTTTAAAACTGCACAGACAACTGCTATGCAGAGCTGTGAGAACTGCTGGGTGAGAAGAGGGAGATTCAGAGGCATGAAACAGCTGAAGCAATCTTATAAAAGCTATTAAGAATTCAAGTGACAGTATCAAATCTAATGACTGTGTGTTGGAAGATAATTGTGACAAGAACACTGCTTACCAGCACAATTAGAAGAGGGGAAATTAAAATGAAGGAACGAAGCAGGGAAGACTAAGAACATGGGAAAATGAATTGAGAAATAACCAGGCAAGAAAATTAGCAAAGAACTTGTAACTGCAAGTCTTGACAGCTTATAAAGCCATGAGCCCTCAGGTCAGGGACAGCTGGAAATGCTGTTGACACTTTCCATACACACTGACATACGTATGCCTACATGCACATGTATAAGAGGAAGAAGTATTATACTGCAGTGCATCTAACACAGTATATTAATTTACAAAGAAGAACTAAATAAAAGAATTAAAAGCATTCAAGATTAAAACAACAAATTATTAATCCTATCTGTCAGGCTGGAAATTGTTGCTTTTGTCCTTTTTGGATCACAGGAGGTTTTATGGATGCTGAATGTGCACACCAGTTACAGTATTTCTTCATGTGACATAAGGAAAAAGCAATTGCTGCCTCCTTGGGAGTGCTTCTGTGTTCCTCCAAGAAGCCGTAAATGATAGCAATTGTTGCGTATAACTGAATTTGCCCTGGCAAATATTGTTCCTCCCTGTGTTATACAAAAAACAATTTAACTGCAAAAAGCTCAGTGTATTAATTTCCTATAATACACACACACAAAAAAATTCTTATTATAGTTTCAAAGCCTGCAAGTGCTGCTGGAATAAAATATTATGTGTGTTCATACCTCCGTGTGTGCAGTAATTTGGTTAGTCTCTGCTTTGGCAAGCCCATGTCTTGAATGTTGAATGAAAAACGATATAGAAATTACAGTTCGTTGCTCACTAATAGGAAGTAGCAGGTGAGGAGACAGTCAGGAAATATTCCACTACTACTTTGCTCTCAGATGCTGAATTTGAGGGTTATTGAGTTAGCATGAGGGGCAGCTAGAGTAGGTAACTGAAAGCTATGGAGAATTTATGTGAGGCTATTAGATATGAGAGAAGGATTATACAAGCATTTCATGGTGAGACCTCACCTGAATCTGATTTCTCTGGTCTCTCGCTTATACAAATTATGGCCTCGTTCTGTCACTTTAGGAGTAGCTCTATTTAGGTCAGATGAATTACATTTAGTAAAATTCCTGCAAGATCAGATTTAGGTCCAATTTGTTGAGCTTCAGTCCAGTGTAGCTCATCTTCTTCAGCTTTGAAGTCTGAAAGGACCTGGAGAGTGAAAGCCAGCTGTCAAGAGCTGTCCCATCCAATTTCACAGCAGGGTTACAATTCCATAGTGGGAAACCTTAACCAAATTAGTTAGACTCGCTCAGCTTTTGAAAGAACCCATGCCTGAGTGGCGTGGATGCATTGCAAAGATTTTGCAGAGCTCTGCATAGACCTACAGCTTCTGGCGTGGAGCATTTTGGAGTGGCCAGGGGCAGCCAGGAGGAGCCACTTGTGCCAGAGCATTTCACCTGCTGCCATCACAGAGTACAAATACCACTCACATCTAACTTAAATCTACTCTATAGAGTGCAGTGGCGTTTAGGTGCCCAGATTTTATGCTGTTGCTCAGCACAGAAGAAATGTATTTCCAAAGGACGCATTGCCTTCTCTCATCATGTTATAGTCTACCCTGAAACTGTCACAGTGACTTATGGTAATACTTTACAGTGGGAACAAACTCTTCCTAGTTCTGTCATCGAAACCGTGTATTTATACAGTACCTATAAATCAGGAGCACTCTGAGGAGCTTCAGTGTTGATATTTATGTCAGCAACATTGGTATTGTAGGCCCCACTGTGTTTACAGCTGTCTACAGGCTGGAGAACTTCTACCTATTAGTACATTAAAAAGATTAAATATGTGAATGTATTGCAATCTCTAAGAAAATACAGAAATAAATAGAAAGGTTGGATTTTTAAACCTGCTGCATGTAATGAGTCCACACCCAGGAATCAGGGTTAAATTCAGACTTTACTGTGTCCCAGGAACCTGCCCTGAATTCGGCAACTGCTGTGATTCCTACATCAGACAAAACTGCAGCAGGTCTCGGTGCAGACATCATCCTGCTTCCTGGCCCCTCTACTCTTCTCGTGGTCTGAGCAGTCACATACTGCATTGGTTTGGCAACAGGATTTATTCATGCTCTTCTGCTCTGCTCCTAGGGGGGACTGGCTGCTGGGGTTTGTATACAGAACCTCTTCTGTCCAGATCAATGTTGCAGGCCTCCAGCCAGTCGACTTGGATGACAGGAGGATGGTAAACATGGACCTTTCATCTGTAGTAAGTAGTACTTCTTGTATTCTCAGTTTTTTCCATCTGTCCTTTGCTTGCAGCACTGTAACCTCACACTCGTCAATTAGGGGAAGACAGGATACTGAAGAGAGCACCTCTGTGTACATTGTCCCTCTTTCCTTTCTTTGAGATAACTCTCATCTCAGATTTCACTGTAGATTTTGTTAGCCCAGCCAGCACTCAGTACTGAGCAAAATAATGAGAATTTGCCTCTCTTGTTGGATATGTTTGGGTTTTTTTTTGGTTCTGAAGTATCTCGTCCTAGAGGCAGAAAATGCCATTATTCTCCAAGAAAGACCTGCTGTCTAGCAAGCCCTGGATCAGCAGGTAGATAGGATCAGCAGCTGGGAAACCTGGAGCTCAAACACGTGACAGTGGAGCAGGTTCAACCTGCAACCTTATCTTGGTGGAGCCTTCAACACTGTTCAGGTTCATACAGGGGCAAGTTCATAGGCCTTGTACCTTGCTCCTCTGGGCTGCACTGACTCCCTGGTGCAGGAACCAGTTTGTAATTAAGGAAGCTCTGTGATAACGATGTCTGGTTTGCTAGGTCCAGACCTGGGCTGCTGCCTTCTTGGGGTGTAGGTCTCCAGGAAGCAGGAAGAGATTCACCTGTATGTCCAGTAGACATTTAGTTTCCTCAAAGCTATCTGGTGTCATTAATGATAAGCCACTATATGATATGTCTAGCAACATTCAACTCAATTACCTTAAGCAAACTAATGATCTCATTGCCTCATCTATAATCATCAGTGAGCTTTTCCACAGAAAATCATACAGACCTTCGCTTGTGTATTCATATTCTCAGTAATCTTGGACATGCAATCTTGTTTTTCCATATCTTAAGGTTTTAACTCATTTTTCACTGTCTGCAAACTGAACTGGAAGACGCTCAGGATGCTCCTCCCATGGTCATTGTTCCTGCCATGACTGCTCCTGAACGCCCCCAAAAGCTGGTGGGGTTTGTCAAATGTTGCTCTGGAGCCAGCGGCACTTTTAAGTGCTTTCAGATTTTTTGGAGCACCAGCCTGCTGAGCCTATAAATACTCAACTGTTACCAGCTCATTTCATTCATTATAACTGAGCTATGTACAGCCCTTGCCAGAAAACACAGGGCTTAGTGCTGTACAGATAAAATAAGAGACTTTGCAGAACAAAATATAGGCTTTCCAGAAAGAAGTGGTATAACAGAGGCTTTTAAACACGATCCGGCACTGTAGCTGTTCTTGTATCTTTGCACCTTACTGGGTTGTCTTGGTTTGCATTTCCACATGCTCCCACATCTATTTTTTTTCACCGTCCCCAGCTGCCATTAGTCGCTTGTGAGCAGTGACATCTGTTGCTGGCGTGAAAAGAAAAATGGCCAAAGACGTCAAGCAGTGGTGGCACTGGGGTGACTTTTCCCGTTAGTTCAGTCTGTGTTACTCTCCTCTCTTGACTTCTCTTCAGCAACCCTCTTTCTGTTGACCTTCTGCTTCCTGAGCTTTGAAACCCCCTGGAGTCCTGCAGACCCTGCCTGGCTCGCAGCAGCCTCGCCATTTTTCCCCCAGAGGAGCAGTATTTACATTTCAGCTAAATAAATAATGGTTGCAGAGCTGCTATCTGCTAACCTTCAATTGCTGTGCATCTGTATCCGTGCAGCATGATGCCAACAGACAATCCCAGCGCTGTTCTCATTTCAGAAAGAGCTGACGCTTCCACTTGCTTAATCTTACTGCAAAGCATTGGGGGGGGGGGGGGGGGGGGGGGCGGAAAGAGCAACCCCCACAGGGGGAAAAACCTATGTTAAGTAGGTGTCGTTCTCTTGATCCATTTTCCAGACCATGGAGCTTTATGAAAAGCCATACAGTGCCTTCTGATGAGCATTTTAAAAGTAAAAGGAGCAAGAATGGGGAAGGAAATATTCAGGGGCAATATTTTTTAAAGTGGCAAGAAAGCAAAGGATGGATTTTGCTGCAAATATAGTGCAGTCGCGTAACAGAAATAGAGAGATTTTCTGTAATGGGGACCAGCTCCATCTCTGCAGATGCCCTTGCTGGAGGTCCATGTGAGTCTTCTACCAGGAATAAGAAAGGACAAGCTGTGATACAAGAATAAAGCACAGATGATGTGAAGGTGCTCAGCATGAAAATATTATGCAGGCAGCCTCAGTATTTTAGGCGTCTTCCAGCCCCTCCATGATGAAAATGGGACTGGATCCAAAGAGCTTGGTTCTCTTTGCTCTGGTAGCTTCAGAACCCTCAAATGAGTGGAGGATTAAGAGACCTCAGTACAAACAGGAATTCACCTCCAAGGCACTTATTGCATGTCTCTCTTGATTAGTATGTTTTTTATCTGACTGTCAGTAAAAAAAACTGAGAGAAAAATGTCCTCCCACTCAGCAAATGCAGTTATAAAAGCCTTCCTAAGGGTTACAATGGGACTGATTTATTCAGGAGATTTATTTGACAGCACCTGTTACAGAGACCAAGGAAGTAATTGAGCTGTAGTGTATTAGATTGATTGCTGTTTGTTCAGATGGGATATTGTAGATTACATTTTGCATTAACATTTGAATATTGCAGAAATGCTTGGAGTCAGAATGTAGGCAGAACGTTTTCATGGAGGCTCACAAGTCAAGAAGGGTGCTTAAGTTTCTCTGAGGTGTTTTACCACAGCAGAAACCAAGCATGAACTTGCAAGCTTAGGGGCAGTAGGAATGCCTGGGTGGAAGTCCAGGAGAGAGCGCGGCTGGATCGTGACAATTATTGCAGAGGTCAGCACTGTTCTCTCGTTAGTCCGATGTGAAAATTGTCATAAAGATCTTTAGGCTATGATTAAGTTTTGCATCCACTTTAAAACTCCTTCCTTTCCCATGCTTTCAGTGGCAGCTAAATTCTCCTTTTCTTATTCTTCATCAACACGTTGTCTGGATGGCAGCTGCCTACTTGCTGCTGGCGCTCACTAATTCCTGTGAAGGCAACACACAGCAGCCCCAACTGCAAGTAAATCCCTCCTTATTCAACTACCTGGAGTGCCAGAGCCATGCTCTCTAGAGCCCACAGACTAAAGATACAAGGTACTTTTTATTTTCTAGAGCAGTCATTGCAATGGTATGTAGAGAAAACATGCTGATGCTTTTCACAGCCATGTTCTTCTCCTGCAGCACCTCTGCACAATGGGAGGCAAAACAGCAAAGCTTCTTTTTGGAATAATCTGTATCACACATCAGCACACCTTTGCTTTTTCCTTCTGAGATACCTCAAAAGCTTTTTACCTCTTCTTTTCTTTGCTGCTGTAATCGAGCAGTAGGAAAGCTCTCTTTATGACAGTGATTAAAAACCAAGAACAACTGATCTCTTTCCGAAAGCACTCTCAGAAGATGGGCCTAGTATTCCCATGATGAGGGAAGGCAGATTCAAGGCAATCAGGCCTTCAGCCAGGCAGGCACACAGCATATATAAATATCATAAGTAGATGAAAAGTCTGAATTTTGTGAAAGCCAACCGATTTGGCACTTCTGTGAGTCAGGCTTTTTTCCCAAAACGCATTAAACTGATTTTTTCTCCTATATTCCCAAAACTTGCAGCAAAGAATGAATCGTGGTTACGAAATGTGGGTTAATTAAGAACCCTGGGGAGTTCAAAAGGCAAAAGGTCACCTATGTCTCATTACACCTTTGTTTCACTTGTTTCAAATGAGCAGGGCCACCTCCCGTGGTGACAGGCATTAACAGGATCAGAAGAGCAAGAGCTAGGAGCAGAACTTGGCTTCAGGCAGCGGCTCAAAAGAGCCTGGAGAGCCTTCTCTCACATCTGGGGGACATGCGAGTCTCTGTGGAAATAAGTCTATTTGTCTGCTGGGCTATAAATTCACAGGGATGGTTTCTTCCTCTTTGTGTGTCCCTGCAACCCTGGAGTTGTCAGTGGCTTAGTTCCCTGTGATCCTTCTTGCTGTTGATTTGGGAGCTCTGAGAATCACACATTACATACCTATTAAATACATTTTTCCCTTTGGGATGCAAGCAGAGGGTGCTGGCAATGTCAATATGTTAGAACAGATGAAGAAAAAGCTTTTCCAGAAAGGTGCAAATAGAACCATTAATAACTTGCAGTTTGGTTTTGCTTTGTGGCAGACAAAATCTCAAAGGCTGGTATCCCTTCTTGCTTCAACACAGACGTATTACTCAATCCTGATGTGCTCTTTGGGAGGCTGGGGATATTCAACTACTTCTAAAAAGCAGAGAGAACCATTTTGTGGTGCTCCTTGAGCCTTTATTTCAAAGGCTGGTGCCAAAATCCACATACACACTGGCACTCAGAAGCAGCGTGGTGCCATAACAGTGTGGCCTTCCTGCAGATTTATAGAAGTAATTTTCCCATTTCCTCCACTGTGCCTGGAACATGTGTGCATCGTTTCACGGTGGGTTTCCACAACATCTGTTTGAGTGCATACAGTGTTCGGACACCCCAGCTACCCTGGGCGAAGCTGAGTTTCTGGGATTGCACCTTTCTTCTTCAGAAAAGCTGGGATTACCAAATGCCATGTTTTAGAAAGATTCACAGGTCGTTTATGTTTATATCTAACACAATTCCACATGCAAAATTTGCTATTCCATTTGCATAACCACCGAAGTTTTGATGCCATTACATCTTTCTCCCACAGAGTGTAACCACTTGCATCACTTACTACCTTTTACAGATTTTCTCTTACACTTTATGCATTAGAGCACCTTGCATTGGAAAACAGGACTGTTCTTGCAAAGCCAGACATTGGAGCCTCCATTCTTGACAGGTTTGCAGGCAGCAGGTTTGTAGCTGTTGACTTTGTAAGCAGCTATCCCGATCACACAGATCTTACTCGAGCAAAACTCCCAGCAAAAGCAGTGGGAGTTTTCCCAAAGTAGTGTTAATAATGTTTGATTCTGCAAAAGTGGCTACACAAGGTACAGTAAGGTGAACTAAGGATAGAGAATTTAGCTTTCTATTTCTTGTCTTATGTTGGAACAC